CACTCTGGTTACTGTGTGTGTGGTAACACCCATTGTTTCATGTTCTCTGTGTATATAAATCTCCACACTGTATTTTCCACTGAATGCATCCGATGAAGTGAGCTGTAGTTCACAAAAGCTTATGCTCAAATAAATTGGTTAGTCTCTAAGGTGCCACAAGTCCTCCTTTTTTTTTTAATAAACAGTTTCCCAAAAGTCTTTTCGGGGTACCCAGATTGTCTCCGGGGAGCTCCGTTTTCTATCCAGGACACTTCTCTGTAAGAGTCCAAACAGCACAGAGGTAAAGGATCTTTCCTTGAATCCATACTTACAGCTTCTTCTCACACAAAAAAAGGCTGACAGGGTCACTACCTGCACGGGTTTTTCCTCTGATGACAGATAGTGAGGAACGCATTTTGACTCTTTGACTGCCGATCCTCACGCCCAACGCCCACTTGCTTTGAAATTAGCTCTTTTCTGTTCAAGTTCTTCATTTGCATTCCACAAGGCTTCTTCCTCGTTTGATGGGTTATTTCGTTACAGGGGTATACGCTATGGAAATGTTCGCTACTACATTATAACACCATATAGTTAAGTGAAAACAATGCAAGTAACATCCACTAGTTGTCATGAAGTTTAAATACCAAATACACTCTTATACATTTCACAATCACTTTGATGTATCCTAATACACAAGTGAATGAGCCTAGTCTCACCTGTTCTCCACCTCAGATGTTTACAAGTTCCAAACAAGAATTGTACAGCCGTAGTCAGCACTGAGAGAATTTCCCCCCCCCCCACCACTCTACAATATCTTATTGGCTACACAGTAAGATAAGTAAGAAGATCTGAGATCTGAGATAAAAGATCCGAGATCTGAGATAAAAGGATCAGGTCCCAAGAATTTTTCAAGAGATTTTTGCAGCCTCTCGTGAGCAGGCAGTCCTTGGGTGAACAATAGGCTTTTGAAGTAAGCTTCTATTTCCTAAACGTCACAGGTAATTAATTACAAGGATTAACATAAGGTAATTATCCATAAAGCAGTTCATAGACAGTTAACCACAAACTTTAAAGAGACATACAGACAATGACATTATTACACCCAAGTTTCATCTAAATGTTAATATTTCCTGTTGATCTCTGACTTAACAGAATACAGCCCTAGACAGGAACCGTTTGTTTACACTGTTAACCTTCTAACAAGATAAAGGTAAACACAGCTATCTACTATAAGCGTAGCTTACCATCTTCTTCCAGGTCTTTCATCGGTGACAATATAAAGGAACTATGTAAAACCATCCCTCTCCAGACTACACAGTTACATTTCAAACTTCTAGTCTATCTAACGTGGAATGGCCCTAATTACCATTTCCACACTTTTCAAACATGTCTCTAAAAGTTGAATCTGGGTCAATTATTCTGCAAGTTTCTTAACCCTTTCTGGCCGTGTGTCACAGAAGTTTAGATCCTGTGTGGATTCTCCCATGTTTAATGAGGTGTGATCTCTGTGTGAAACTTTTCCCACAGTCCAAGCACTTATGGGGTCTCTCTCCTGTGTGGATTGCCTGATGTCTAACAAGGGCTGATCTGTTTGTGAAACTTTTCCCACAATCCAAGCAATTATGGGGTCTCTCTCCTGTGTGGATCCTCTGATGTGTTATAAGATATGATCTCTGTGTGAAACTTTTCCCACAGTCTAAGCACTTATGGGGTCTCTCTCCTGTGTGGATTGCCTGATGTTTAATAAGGTCTGACCTCCATATGAAACTCTTTCCACAGTCCAAGCACTTATGGGGTCTCTCTCCTGTGTGGACTGCCTGATGCTTAAAAAGGTCTGACCTCCATATAAAACTTTTTACACAGTCTAAGCACTTATGAGGGCTCTCTCCTGTGTGGATTGCCTGATGATTAACAAGGGCTGATGCATTTCTGAAACTTTTCCCACAGTCCAAGCACTTATGGGGTCTGTATCCTGTGTGGATTACCTGATGTTTAACAAGGTCTGACCTCTGTATGAAACTTTTCCCACAGTCCAAGCACTTATGGGGTCTCTCTCCTGTGTGGACTGCCTGATGTTTAACAAGGTCTGACCTCCGTATGAAACTTTTCCCACAGTCCAAGCACTTATAGGGTCTCTCTCCTGTGTGGATTGCCTGATGTTTAACAAGGTCTGACCTCGCTATGAAACTTTTCCCACAATCTAAGCACTTATGGGGTCTCTCTCCTGTGTGGATTGCCTGATGCCTAAAAAGGGCTGATCTGTCTCTGAAACTTTTTCCACAGTCTAAGCACTTATGGGGTCTCTCTCCTGTATGGACTGCCTGATGTTTAACAAGGTCTGACCTCTGTATGAAACTTTTCTCACAGTCCAAGCACTTATGGGGTCTCTCTCCTGTGTGGATTGCCTGATGTTTAACAAGGTCTGACCTCCATATGAAACTTTTCTCACAGTCCAAGCACTTATGGGGTCTCTCTCCTGTGTGGATTGCCTGATGTTTAACAAGGTCTGACCTACATATGAAACTTTTCTCACAGTCCAAGCACTTATGGGGTCTCTCTCCTGTGTGGATTGCCTGATGCTGAACAAGGGCTGATCTCCATGTGAAACTTTTCCCACAGTCTCAAGCACTTATGGGGTCTTTCTCCTGTGTGGATTGCCTGATGTTTAACAAGGTCTGACCTCCGTATGAAAGTTTTCCCACAGTCCAAGCACTTATGGGGTCTCTCTCCTGTGTGGATTGCCTGATGTTTAACAAGGGCTGATCTCTGTGTGAAACTTTTCCCACAGTCTAAGCATTTATGGGGTCTCTCTCATGTTTGGCTTATCTGATGTGTAATTAGTGCTGACTTCGAATTGAAACATTTCCCGCACTGAAGGGATTGATAGGGTTTCTCTCCCATGTGCCTTCTCCCATGGTTATTGAGGTCTGAGCGGTTATTGAAGCTTTCTCCACAGTCCAAGCATTGAAGGGGTTTCTGTCCAGTATGGATTGTCTGATGTGTCACAAGGTGTGATCTCAGAATGAATCCTTTCCCACATTCGAGGCACTGATAGGGTTTTTCTTCCTTGGGATTTGTCTGCTGGGCTGTGGGATCCTTGTCTCCTCCCCAACATTTAATGGATTCATCCACTTTCTTCTTTGGGTAGTTTCCCAGCAGCCTCTCTGACCTGTGCCAATTTCCCCAGGCTTCTCCCTTTTCCAAGCACTGGGAAAAATTCCCTTCAGCTCTTCCCACAAAGGTCCCCTGTGGTTCCACTTCCCCAGGAACGTGCTCATGATGATTCCCCTCCTCCTCCTCACTCCCTCGTTCATCACCTGCTGGGAGAGAGACAATCCAGACAGGAGTCATTGTGCTGGGGAGAAAGAGGAATAGCACCGAGGGAAAACCCAACACGCTAATGCTGTGAAGACAGAGCAATTGGATTCTGCCTCCACATCCCCCCCAAACACTCAGAGGGAAAGTGGGAAGGAAACTCGTGTAGCTAACAGGACGGGTGGAGAGCCGTGAGCGATATCTGCTGACTCCAGCCCTGCTCTGGGTGAGGTAAGGAAGAACTCAGGGCCTTTACTCACACCACATTTTTGGTATTCTCAACATTTTCCTTCATTAGCCAGATGGTTTCTATGTCAGTCCTCACCTGGGCGGGCGCCTCTTGAGATCTCTCTTTCCTCCGAGGCCTGGAGATCGGGCACCCACGGCTCTTCCCCTCGTTCTAGCTGGGTGATCAGCTCAGGTTTGGGAATGGGAAACCCTGCACAGGGGGTGAAATCAGACCAGATCAGGGTGCATGGAGGGTTGAGAGAGTGTCTGTCATAAAGGGCATTCCATGTCCCGGTACTGTGCTGGGAGAATCTGGAATCCAAGGGGACGGGAACATGTCACTGAGCCCCCTTGGGGGAGAGAGACTTCTGGAAAGATGGGGAGAATTGTTATGCCCTCACTAGCAGTTCCCAGGATCTGTGCACTTTGGGGGCTTTGCTGATGCACATACAGCTCTAGAGTTAAACCCCTGCCTATTTCTAAACCTCCCTATGGCTGGAGTAATTCTCTGTGCGACTGAGAAACAATACAGATTGGAGAATACATGGCTTCTCCCTCTTGAAAGCTGGAGGGATGGGGATGGTTTTGCACGTCCATTATGTCTGACACCCTTATCCCACTGGTGAGGGTATGGAGATGCAGGTCTCTCTCACACGGCAGCTGTGGATTATAGAACCCATTACCCTTCAATCTAACTGACCAGGGAAGAACCTGACCAGATTCAGCAATGGAGGCCCTACATTTTCTCATAACTGAGGGGACAGGAATCCCTTACCCAGTGAGGTCACCGTCTCGTAGATCTCCTGCATGACGTCCCTGTAGAGGGCTCTCTGAGCGGGGTCCAGCAGAGCCCCCTGCCCCTGGGTGAAATACACAGCCACCTCCTCGAAGGTCACCAGCATCTGAAACAACAAGAGTCCCCCACTCAGCACCTGCTGCCCCAGCCACAATCCCACTAGTCACGGGAAAGGAAGAAAGAAAAAATAAAATCATCTCGGAAGCTCTGGGAGGACCAGAGTAGCAGAATTCCTCCCACACCCTGCTCAGAGCAGCCCGGAGGCTTCAGGGGGTGGGGAGAAGGTGAGAGCTGCTTGTCCCCAACAGAAGACAGAGCAGGGCAGGGTCTTCTCATTTCCCACACGCCTGCCAGCCACAGGCTGATACGGGAAGCAGAGCTCTGAGCCGGGGACAGGGACAGGAACCTCGACAGCTTCCCTTCGTATTTCACAGCAGCCCCTGGCTAGTGGGTTCAGGCTCCAGCACTGGGAGTCTGGAAAATGTTCCCAGCCCTGCCCAAGGGGGTTGTGTCCTGTTTGAGAAATGGGGGAATGTCCCTCCACCCCCCCCCCCACGTCAATGGACCTACTCAGAATATCAGCAGGTTTATCACACCCTGTCCCCTCCCTGCTTCATCCTGAGTCTTTCCTGCCCCTCCCCCTCTACAACACTCCCCCTGCAGCTCCCTGAAAATCCCCTACCTGAGCTGGCTCCATCACAACCATTTCCATTCCCTGTACCCTGGAAGACGGGACGATCTGCAGCGAAATCTGGACGTGATTCCTCAGCCTGTCAGGGCGAGAGGGGTGATGGGGCGAGGTTACAGAAGCGACGTGAGTCCATTTCACACCCCAATTCCCCCCAGGCTTCCTCCCCGCAGACACACGCTCTGGACTCTGCCATGCTGCCAGGTCAGGCTCCTCCCAGCAGAACTAAACCCACCAGGGACACTTTTAAACCCTCCCAGTAAGAGCATCTCTGTGCCAAATGCTAGAAAAAGAGGAAATCGAAAGAACCACTTTGGGGGCTCCCCATGACATTATCGTGTAACCCCCTCTAAAGCTACCCCCCTTCTCTCTAGATAGTGAGGTGTTCAGCAGAGTCAGCAACTGGCTTTTCTTCTCTCAGCTCCTCCCCTTCTTCCCAGGAGAGTCACTCTGCCCTGGGGGTGCAGGGAATGGATCCAGACAGGTCTTGGACCTGGCAAACTCCCTCCCCACTTCTTGCTCCTGCTGCCCCTTCCAGTCTCTCCACTCTCCCTTTTTATCTTCTTCCCTCACCCTGGGAGAACTGCTGACTGCCCCATTGACGTGGGCCTTTGCTCTCATTAGGCAGATCTGCCACTGCTAACAGGGGTTTGAACCTGGCTGTGTCCATGGGCACAGCAGCTCTGGGACTTGCAGACACACAGAGAGCCCCCTTCCCACGTAGGCCAAACTCACCAGCAGGTCCCTAAAAGGGGGCCTTTGTGCAGAGTCATTTTCCTGCCCGGCCCCAGCCCTGTCCCCCAGGTCTCTCCATCACTTGCAGGTTCCAGCTGAGGAGCTGGTGACCGAAGAGCCAGGGGATGCCCCAGGGACTGGTTCCAGCCACTGGAAAAAGTCCCCACCTAGGCTGGGCACAGAGGGGCTTTAACAGACATCTCTCCTCTGCTGGGTATGAAGCAGCATCTCAATCTAGAGTCCCCGGTTGAAATGGAGGAGGCAGCAGCTTGTGACCCAGGGAGCGCAACTCCACAGCGCTGATAACATGAGCAGCAACAGACGCACACACCAGCCTCCTCCTCGTCCTTAGCAATAACCGGAGCCCTTTGGTGGCAGCAGATAAGGATGAGTCTCCCTGGCCTGCCCCTGCAGCCCCCAGGGACAGGCAGGCAGAGGCTGATCTTTTTTCACGAGGAGGGTGGTGAAGCACTGGAACGGGTTACCTAAGGAGGTGGTGGAATCTCCATCCTTAGAGGTTTTTAAGGTCAGGCTTGACAGAGCCCTGGCTGAGACGATTTAGTTCGAGATTTGTCCTGCTTTGAGGAGCGGGTTGGACTAGATACCTCCTGAGGTTCCTTCCAACCCTGAGATTCTATGATCTCATTGGCCCATCCACACTCACCTCCTGCCAGAGCTAGCAGTGACTCGGGTCTGACAATGGGTCTGGCTGAGATCTGAATCCTGCATGGAAATCAGACCAGGGCCTCGAGCAGCCCCAAACACTCAGGAGACAGACCCCAACATCATGAGTGTGTCTTTTTTATTTTTAAATCAAATCATAAATTGGAAGCAGGGTGTGCGGGGAGGGGAGGAGGCGGCCTGTGGATATTTTCCTTGTCGCTTCTGATTCCTGAGGGGAGAGTCTCCTCACCTCACATGCTTGTTTGACCAGTTCCAGGAAAAAAATTGCCCACTGGCTGCTGGGTGGGGAAGTCCTTCACCCTCTCCTACCCCATGGGGTGGGGAGCTGCCCTTGTATCTCTCCCCACCCCTCTGCCTTCTCCCTCCCCCAGCCAGTCTGCACTTGCTCTCACCTTCTCCCTCCAGCCTCCCCTCCCCACATCCCCCCTTTCCCTCACAGTGCCCCCCCATCACATCTTCCCTCTATTCCATCCTCATTCCCCTCAGCCCCATAATTCTCCTCCTACAGCCTGACTCCCCTGCATTGACCCATCCTCCCTGCCCCCCATCCTGCCCCCTGCATTCCTATCACCCATCTCCTGTCACCTAATGCATCCCTGTTCACCCCTCCTGCCCACACATCCCAGTGCACCTCTTTAGCCTCCTCCCCCTGCAGCCCGGGTGTAAACGGGAGGCACGGCTCTCATAGAGGGGAGAGGGGGTGAAGGTCTCTCATACCTTCCCTCCAAGCAGTGCCCTCCCTGGGAGCAGGGGCTGAGGCCTGGGAAGGGGGCCCTGGATAGGCTGGGGTTACTGCACTGGGAGAGGCTCCTGGGGAGCAGCGGGAATGTTCCTGCCTTACAACATAAACCTCTCCTGTCTGCAGCCAGGGATTTTGCCTGGAATGGGGATTCTGCACAGCAGTGACCAGTTACTGCAGTAACTGCCATTCACTTCCTGCTGCTGGGAATGAGGGAGCCCACTGATTACTCCCACATCACTCCAGCTCCTTTTGGGCCCTAGCCATAAACCCATTCAACTGAAACCTCCCTGCCCCAGACCCTGCCCCTCAGAGCTTCCTCGTCTCCTGACCACAGCACTATGGGGGCAGCATCCATAAAAGCCACCAAGTCAATGGGAGAAAAGAAAGGAGACATTCTGATCCCAGGAAGGGGGGAGAAGGGACATGTCTGTGGAGAAACCCGATTGTTCCAGAGAGTCCCCAGTATCAACCAGGATTCAGGGGTGAAGGGGTCCTGGTCCTAAAGAGGCTGCCCAGAACATTCAGGGGACACATTTCACGGTGACACTGACTCTGTGTGTGATTTGCATAATTTTAAAATATTGTGCACAGAATTTTTAATTTTTTGGTGCATAATTTTTAATCATTTTGGAGTAGAATTCCCACAGGAGTAAGTAGCCCTGGGCCTAATCTACAAAGCCCGCTCCCCTAACTCGGGCAACAAAGCTTTCACTTGTCAGTGCTTTGCAGCCAAGTTCCCTCTGGTGATTCGCAGGGCCAGATTAACCCGTCACTGGGCTCTAGACAAAACCCCTTTATGTCTGCCCCAGCCAGGGTGCCGCCTATGGAACTGTCCCTGCTAGGCCACTGTGGGGATTTGTAGGGCTTCATTAATTTATCACTGGGCTGTAGGCAAAACCTCTCACATCCACCTGACCCCCGGGACTCCCTGCTGGCGTTACAGCACAATTTCCTAGAGGTAGCCATTACCGATATCTAGGTCCAGATGTTCCGGAGAAGTTAGCAGGGTGCATGCTCAGAGGGAGAAACTAAGGTTCCCCAGGTAACTTTTACCCTGAAAATATAGCTACGGCTGAGTGAGCTTTGGCACCTAGGGGGTTTGTCAAGAGTTTTGTATGGCTCCATGGAGCCTAAACTGGGATTTAGGCACCTAATACCAGATTTATGTGTTTAGCCTAGGGTCTGGGTGCCTACATGCCATTGTGAATCCAGCCCTCAGTCTCTGTAATGTGACCGTATGTAGCAGAAGCACCTGGGTTCATCGGATGTGAAGAATGTCAGGGTCTCCTTCCTTTCACAACACTACAATCAGTGCACCAAGCACTGCTCTTGCACCAAGCAGCCCACTGATATCCCAGGGTGTGACAAAGTGGAAATGTTCTTAATGTTTTCTCGGAATAATGCGTGTGTGCCTCAGTTTCCCCGATGTGTTACTCAAGCTTCGAGGTGGTGGCAGAAGGGTGTGTGATCATTGTGAAGACACCTAGAGGGCAGGGGTGACTGCAGGCTGGTTCCCTGGGCACAGAGAATGGCTGAACACTCTGTATCCTCGTAAGTGGTGGCCGGAACCCGTCCTCTGCAAGGAGCCAGGCAAAGGTGTTGGAGAACAAAGAGAGAGGGGGAGGCCAGGTGACCTGTTTGTCCAGGAAAGAGAGAAAGCATGGAGGAGGGCAGCTGGGTGTGACTGAGGCTGGGCAGCTGGAAGCGGGTCAGTGTCCTGGTTTGGGACTCAGCGGGGAGAGTTCAGGGCTCTGGATCCCCCCCAAGATGGACTTTGCTGAATGATCCTGATTTCTGTGCTAACAAGCTCTGTTCTGTGCTGTGTTCCCAATGACTAACAAACCCTTCTGTTTTCCAAGCTGGTTGGGAGTCACTGCTGACTGCAGAGCTGGGGTGCATGGCCCCTTTAAGGGGCACGGTGTAAGGCTTCCCCAGGTGTCTCATCCAGGTGGACTCCCTGCCGAGAGCTCACGGTGTGACAGGGGTGCTGAACGCTCCAATGTCAGACCCACGAGGTGCTGAAGCTGAGGAGGCTTCTTGCCCTGGTGCCAGTGTGACCCGAGGGGAGACACACCGTACTAGAGTCCTGCCTGGCTTCATTGAGAGCAGTCCCAGAGCACCGAGACTGGGACTCCATGACACAGGACTGTCTTAAACACAGATCTCCCCTCCAAGCTCTGATTGCCTCAGCTATCAGGTGAATAAAGAGGGAGCGGCCTGCCAGGTGGACATCCTATACAGCTTTGGAAACAAATACAGAGTATGTCTAGTAACTACACCCACAGCCTATTTCTGGATGCTTTTGAACCAGGAGATCAGCCCCGCACACTGCACCTGTGCTGAGACACATCATAATGTTTTATGTGAGCTGAAAATACTTTTGCTATGCCTGTCAGGGTGCGTCCTCACACCTATCGCAGCCACAGACTCATTGATGTAACTATCCTCATGTAAGACAGAGGTAACAGACAATGCTGTCTAAGTTACATTTTCCGGCAGTGCTTAGCTAGTAAGAGATAAAGTTTGCATAGCATGTGGTGAGCAAGCATCTAAAGGCTGAGATCAAAGAGGAATCTTTACTTTTTAAAGCACCAAAACCGTGAATCAATTGGTTCGTTCTCATGGGAGAAGAGTGCCCCCACTTTGTCTAAGTTGCTTATAGAGGGGATCCCTGCACAGCAGGATCTCCCATCACTATCCGGCCTTTATTCTCCTGCTCAGGACAGATGTCCTAACCGGCGCAGGGCAGGGAGAAGGAGCCAGATCACTTTAAATTTCAACCTTAACCCATTTATTGAAATTTTGTCAGGCCAAAACTGTGAAATATCGTAATGGCGTTTCTACCCAGCGCAATGCTCAGGAAAGGTGAGATGAGTGCCTCACTGCTTCACTCCTCCTTTTTGGACTTGAAAAACCTAATGTGGGTTACACCTGGATGATACAAAACTTTAAAAATGTTCAAGACAGATCAAAGGTCTGATAATTATTAGAATTTTGGGGGAAGGTTTCCTGCACTGGTCTGTGGTTACCCTGACTGCCACTGTCAAAATTAAGGCCACCTTAATTCTGAATGAGAGCATCCACACAGGGGGTTAAGGTGCTAGAATTTATGTGCATTAACTTCAGACCTTTAGTGTCGCCCCCTTGTTGGGGCTCCCTAGTCAGACCATGCAGACAAGCCCTCAATGAGTAAAGGGAAAGGAATAAGGGAAATTATGGGGAGGGGGTGGAATCCCCTACTAATTCCTTTAGTTTTAAATGCTTCAACTGGTTTTCCAAGGTTGCCCTCACAAATGGGCGCAGACATTCAGACACAGAGCCTGGCAAAGGAGCAGGAGTAGTAGCCACACAATCAGTGCCAGAGTTTTCAGCCCATCAACAATAATCGTTCATTTAACATCGGAGTCAGCAGTATAGTCTGTGTCTATAAGACAATGGGTGTTTATACCATGGGGTAACTAATCTGCATTAGCTGTCCCACTGTGAAAACATAAAAGAGGCAAAGCACTTCAGTTTCACCAAAAGGTAAACTAGGTGTAAAGGAAAAATAAGAGTAGGCCTAAAATTTGGTCAAGAAAACTGTGTAAGTGGTCAAGGGGCAGGAGGAGAGAGTGTGGAAAATTACTGACAAGACACAATTGCAACAGCCAATCTTGTTTAATGTGACTGCAACAATTAGTGTTAGGAAAGCCGTTAACCGCAAAAGAACAAACCGTGAATAACAGGAAAAGCTTGTTTTTGCTGTATTCCTAATAAGGGAAAATATTAATAAGGAAGTATGTGTAACGAAATGCGGTTTTGATCTATACTATAAGCTTCTGTGTTCCCTTTTTCGACAGAGCTGCCAGACTGGTGGTCTCTCCCTGCATGCTTGTAATAAAGGAGCCTCAGGCTGTTCTGATCCAAACACAATGCATGGTAAATTTCTCCACAGCATAGGTGTGGTCAGCACTGTGTCCTCCTTCCTAACTAAGGCAAAGGAGAAACAGAACAGTTCATTTTAAAAAACCTTTGACTTTGGCCGGATAAATTAGTACATGTGTCAGAATGAAGAACAGTCCTGAAAGGTATCACCACAAAAAATGTAGCACCCATAAAAGGCTGTGAACTTAAAATAAGCTATTAGAAGTATAAAAAATGTTGTAGAAAAATCAACATCAATACATACAATAAATGACATCATAGAAAAGTAAAATGTGCATTTCAGTGTGTGCAGAATGGGGGGTTACTCACAGAAATAAGGTTTTTAAATCAATTGTTAATTACAAGTGGTGGTGGGGAATCCTATGTTCCCGGAAGGGCAAAATGGCATTGAATGTTACAGGATTGTACAGCCATTCTAGGTGTGGTGGAAAATTAACCACGCATTGTGTTTTGGATCAGAACAAGCCTGAGGCCAGCTTTAGTCAAGCATGCACATACAGGGAGAGTCAGCCGGAGCTGCTCTACCGTAAACAGAAAATACAGGAGCTTATATAGCTGAAAACCAAAATTAGTTAAGCACACTTTCATCAAGAGCGTCTTTTCCTTATTTGGCATGTAATGCAAGATTTAACAGTACTTTACCTTATTTGGAATACAGCTTTTCCTGTTATTGACAGGTGTTTCCTTTGTGGTTAACGGTCTTTTCTAACTTTGAGCGGTTATGGTTACATTTCTTAAGTTGTGCTGATGCAATTGCCCCACAATGGAATTTTCCTCACTCTCTTCTTATGCTTCATATACACAATTAGCTTGACCAAAGTTTTAGGCCTATTAGTCTAGGCCTACTAGATTTTTCCTCCACATAAATATATGGACCCTTTGGAAGGGGTAGCAGTAAAAGTATGAAGCGAGTATGCTCTAAAGGCTCAGACACAAAAAGATAAATAAAAGGAAAACAAAGTTTATTTTTTCTTTATTTAAATTCTAGACTTTTGGGTGCATAACTCATGGGGTTTGAATTCTTGGGGCTGTCAATCGATCTTGGGGTTGTACATCTATGCTTAGTAAATAATACCATAGAAATGTCCTTTTGAGAAGCAATTCATACAAGATACTATAACGCCACTAGGGACAGATTTTTAAAAGGATTTAGGCTACTAGTGGCATATTAAAATGTATCCAGGTGCCTTGAACCTTGAAAATTCTGGCCATTAGTGAATATTTGGGAATCAAGTTCTATATACAAATGGGACATGTGAAAAAGCACTAGGGTGCTAAGTAGAGAGACAAAATAACAATTGGCTAAACCATGCAGCGGTTCTCAAACTGTGGGTCAGCAACCCAAAGTGGGTCATGACCCCATTTTAAAGGGGTCGCCAGGCCTGGCATTGGACTTGCTGTGGCCTGGTGCTGAAGCCTGAGCCCCACCGCCCAGGGCTGAAGCAAAGCCTGAGCTGTCCCCCCGCCCCGGGCTTCAGTGGGCTCAGGCTTCGGTCCCCCTCCTGGGGTTGTGTAGCAGTTTTTCCAGTCAGAAGGGGGCCAGGATGCAATGAAGTCTGGGAACCCCAGGAAGGCAAGCCCCCTTGGTGGATGAAAGCAAATGGAAGGAGTTTTGAGACCAGCCCGTGAAACCAGTCAGCACTGAACCGAAATTACAACTAGGGCTGTCAAGCAATTAAAAAAATTAATCGCGATTAATTGTGCTGTTAGTAAGAGAATACCATTTATTTAAACATCTGTGGATGTTTTCTACGTTTTCAAATATACTGATGTCAATTATAACACAGCATGTGAAGTATACAGTGCTCACTTTATATTTATTTTGATTACAAATATTTGCACTGTAAAAAACAAAAGAAATAGCATTTTTAAATTCACCTAATACAAGTAGACAAGTACAAGCCACAGTAGGGCGCAGGCTGGCTCCCAACCCCGCCCGCCCCGCACACGCCGGGGGCTGCGGCAGCTTTCCCGGGCCCGGGGCAGGGAATCGCAGCCGGCTCCGCGGGGAGCAGCCCGGGGCCAAACCCGCCCCCTGCAGCCCGGGGGTGACGGGGGGGGGGCGGGTCTCTCTTACCTTCCCTCCGAGCGGGGCCCCCCGGGGCAGGGGCCGGGCCGGGAAGGGGCCCTGGCCGGGCTGGGGGCTCTGCCCTGGGAGAGGCTCCCGGGGAGCAGCGGGCAGGGCCCGGCTGGAGGTTCCCCTCTCCCGGCTGCAGCCCGGGCTCCGGGCTCCCAGCACCAGCCGCCGGGGCGCGGGGATCTCGCCGGGAGCCTGAATCGCTGCAGCGGCTGCGAGTCACTTCCTGGGGCCGGGCCTGAGCCCCGCGATCCTCCCCCCAGAGCCCCCCCCAGCCGCTCCTGGGTCCTAGCGATCAACCCACCGCGCTGCAGCATCCCTGTGCCCGGCTCCTGTTACACTCCCAGGCTCTAAGGTCAGAAGGGCCCGTCGTGAGCATCGAGCCCAGGGGTTCTCACAGCCACATTTTTGGTGGCCTCAGAGTGCGGCCAGCAGCTCTGGCTGGTGGCCGCTCTGACACTTTTCCCTAAAACACTTAATGAACTTTAGCAAAACCCATGAGATGTGCACATAGGCAGAGGGCGGTAATGTGTTGGCAAAGTGTCCACAGTCAAAATTTTGAGGTCTCTGGGGGCTGCTCCCAGGCAGCTCCCCACAAGCGGCTCCCCTTCCCTGCTGTTGCTGGCGGAGGCTCGGCCAGGGGGCTCTGCACGCTGCCTCCGTTCCCCCTCCCCGAGCACTGACTCCGCGGCTCAGAGCCCTGCAGACGGGGCAGCTCGAGTAGGAGCCAGAGGAGGGACATGATGCTGCTTCCAGGAGCTGCTTGAGGTAAGCACTGCCTGGAGCCTGAACACACCTCCCCTGCCCCACACTCCTGCCCCTGATCCCCCTCCCACCCTCCAAATCCTTTGTCCCCAGCCTGGAACACCATCCAACACCCCAAACCCCTCATCCCCAGCCCCCCCCCCCGAGCCTGCACCCCCAACTGGAGCCCTCACCCCTCCCGCCCCCAGCCCTGATCCCCCTCCCTTCCTCAGAACCCCTCGGTCCCAGCCTGGAGCCCCCTCCTAGAGCCCAAACCCCTCACCCCCAGCCCCCCTCCAGAGCCTGCACCCCCAACTGGAGCCCTCACCCCCCCAGCCCTGATCCCCCTCCCATCCTCCAAACCCCTCGGTCCCAGCCTGGAGCCCCCTCCTAGAGCCCAAACCGCTCATCCCCAGCCCCACCCCAAAGCCTGAACCACCAGGTGGAGCCCTCACGCACCCCCGCACTGCAACACCCTGCCCCAGCCCTCAGCTCCTTCACACACTCTCAACCTTTCAGCCCCAGCCTGGAGCCCCCTCCTCCACCCCAAATCCCGCATCCCCAGCCCAACACCACAGCCTGCATCCCCAGCCCGAGCCCTCACTCTCCCCCCCGCATCCCAACCCCCTGCTCCAGCCCCGGAACCCCGTCTCGCACCCTGAACCCCTAATTTCTGGCCCCACTCCAGAACCCATACCTCCCCAAAATCCCTGCCTCAGCCCGGAGCCCCCTCTTGCCCCCCACCAATGTCCATCCCTAAGTCCGGTAATGTTGTCAAGTGTCCATTGCACAACATGGTGGTGCTGATCCCTGCACAGAGGTAAGCGGGAGAATGGTCCCACTATAGTGGGGAACTTTCCTCGCTTTTACACCCCACCCCAGTGGAATCAAATAGCAGAAGAATCTGAATCCTCGCTCCCGCTCCCTTCACCCAGAGGCCTGTTGGACCTCGAGGACTCCTCTTCCACTCTAGTCCCCATAACCCTGACAAGGTTGGGCCAAGGATTCCAGAGGGGCTCAACCCCCAGTCTTGTGATCACTCAGGACAGGGGTGAGAGTGTCCCCACTGCGGGGTACTATCTTCATTCTGGAAGCTTTCCTGACATCTTCTCTGACCATTGCACAGCATTCAGAACAAATACAATTCATTAAACAGAAAGTAATTTAAAAAAAAAATAAGGAAAACAATGGGAAAGGCAAAAGGAAAACACATCACCCCGCTCTGTGGGCACAGGGGAAATGACAAACGGGGCAGTTCACAGTCTATCCCTCCCACATCCCAGGCCTCCTGCCCAGGCCCTGGCTGTCCTGCAGGGATGCTGCAGGTTTGACACATGCTCTGGTGGTGGCCAGCGTCAGTCTCCTCCTGTCGGGGTTATGCTCCCGCTCCAAGTCTGGCCTGCGAGGCCCCTGGCTGGGGGCATCTCCCTACGTTGGGCCCTCTGCCCAGGGTCCCCCTCGCTTTCCCCAGCTGCTCACCGCACCCGGCTCCAGACTGGCCCAGCCCCAGCTCCCCTCTGCCTCAGCACTGCTGCTGCTCTGTGTCCAGCCCAGCCCAGGCTGCTGCTCTCCCCTTAGCTCTGCCCTTCACTGGCAGGCAGCTCCAGCTCACACAGAGAACGGGCTCCTGACTTCCTCATTGGCCTGCCTGCCCTGTCAACAAGGCTGACCTAGAGCATTAGCCTCTCCCCATTGGCCCTGGGGACTACTCTCAGGGCCTTGATTTCCCATTGGCCCTTCCCCTGGCTTTTGGTTCTGGGAAAGGGTCAAGCAAAAAAACGTACTAAGTTTCAGTAAGGGGCCAACGGACCCCTTACCCAGATACACACCAAAATCATTGTAATGTATTTATTGCTAGCTAGTAAGTCTGCTGCTGTGAAAAGTGATATTTGTATGTTTGTTAATATTTTTCACAGCCTCTCAGCAAGCAACTTGTGTTGCCAACTTTTTAATTTAAAAAACCCGAGACACTCCAGCAGGAGTGCTGGAACCTGCCCTGCCCCACCTCTTTCCCCTGAGGCCCCACACCTGCCTCGCCTCTTCCCCCGGAGGCTCCTCCCCCATCCACTCATTTTACACCCTCCCTAACCAGGTCAGGAGGAATTTGCCTGTGGAGCCGGGGCTGGGAGCTGCAGCCGCCCAATGCAGGTATGAGGCAGCCCTGGCGGAGTAGGGGCTGGTGTGTAGAGAGCAGACAGTGATGGGGGAAGGAAGGAAACCCTCGGACTCACCCCATAGCCCTGAAATAGCACAGAAGGTAAACCACCACATTTTACTGTCACTACTTCCACATTTTTAGCATCTAGTTAATTCTGGTGCATAAGCCAGAAAATGAACAAACACTAAATTCTTGTTAGCAGGACCTGGAGAAATGTGAGATTAGCTGGGAATGAGACAATCCAGCCCCACAGGGGGAACTCAGGGACTAACACTCACTCTGCTAATGGGAGGGAGTCAGAACACGTCAGTAAGGTTTCAATTTTGTTACGGAGGTAACGCAAGTCAAGGAATCTGTGACTTCAGCCTGTAGTGGCTCTGAGCTGCGGGGTCCCCCTGCTGCCTGCAGTAGCAAAGAGCTGCCCCCCAGAGCTCTGAGCTGCTGCAGGCCGTGAAGATACCCCACAGCACCTGGCTCCCAGGGGTGACCTCGAGATGTATGAGTCGCCACAGGTGGCTGGGACCCCACAGCTCTCAGCTGCCATGGGTGGCAGGGCCCTGGAGCTCTGAGCGACAGGAGGCAGAGGGCCCATGCAGCTCCCAGACAGAGCCCCCACAACTGCCCAGCCACCATGGGACCCCAGAGCCCCAGCAGCAATGGGTGCTGCAGCCTTCTCTCTCCCCGTTTTGTCACGGATATTATTAGTAAATGTCACAGACAGGTCACGGGCTTCTGTGAATTTTTTGTTATTGCCCATGACCTGTCTGTGACTTTTACTAAAAATATTGATGACAATATCTTAGCCTCACACATAAGATGCTCAGGGCGAGGTTACACTCGGAAATCTGGTGGAGGGTCACAGAGATGCTCTGGCTAATCCCGACCACATTTCCTACCATAGATAAATGCTCGGAAGCAGAGGTGGGATCTCTCGGCCTTCCCCAAATGGCTCTGTGGGAATCAGCCCCTCTCAGTGGTGCTGTGTGAATGCAGAGGGGCAGGGAGATGGGGCAGAAGGGGAGAGTGAGGAGAGGCAGCACCTCTCTACCCCTGTGCTCTCCCTCATCTTTTATCCCATGATCCCCAAAACACTCAATATCCCAGCACCCAGCTCCTCCTGCTTCCCAGCCCCAACCATTCAATCCCCAGTTCCCTCCCCAAAACCCATCCTCCTGGTCCCTCAATTTTTGATCCCCCAGAACCCAACACCTTTGCGGATTGGGGGAGGGGAAGAGTTACCAGCCCCCAGGGACACTCCCCCTGCAGGGAACAGCTCCAGGTAAGTGGAGGAGCACAGCCCAGGGGCTAGTGGAAGATGGGGGGTGGGGACAGGGGTCTAGAGTGAAGGTGGGGCCTGGCCCAAGTGTCCTTCTCCTCATCTCCATGGCAGGGGAATCCCAACTGGGAGGGGAAGGGAGACGGGGGAACTTCAGCCAGGCAGAGGGAGCATCTGGAGGAGTTTCTCTGTCTTCCTTCCCCCACCTTTGGCCCATCAGCTCAGCAGCCAGGGCAGGAGCACGGAGGACGGGCTGATCGTGGCTTCTCCTCTGCCTGGGGTTTGCTTAAACCAGGCAGAGCCAGAGGGTCACTGACCAACTGATGCTGCTGTATCCTCACCCCAGCAATGGGCAGCTGGATCCTTGGGAGCCAAATGCCCCTGATGTGTGTGGGAAAGAGAAAATGGGTTTGCCACCATGGCCAGCCCTAGTCAGGGCCCTGAGAGAATTTCCCTGCTGTGTGGAGGAGTCTCTGATGTCAGCTCCACTTGGAGCATTTTCCACACTGAGATCATCTCAGAGGTTTCTCCCTGTGCGGAGTTGTGGATCCCTGGTACTCCAGGAGCACCAAATGAAGCTTCCCCCACATTGAAGGTCTCTCTGTTGTGTTGATCACTGATGTGTGAAGTCGAATTGAATCTTTTTCTGCAGACAAGCTATTTCTAGGGTCTCTCACCTTTGTGGATTTTCTGATGTTTGGTGAGCTCTGAGCTCTTATTGAAGCTTTCCCCACAGTCAAGGCATTTATAACGTCTCTCTCCTGTGTGGATTCTCCCATGTTGAGTAAGGTGTGAGCGCTGACTGAAAGTTTTCCCACAGTCCAGGCATTTATGGGGTTTCTCTCCTGTGTGAGTTTTGTGATGTGTATTAAGGGTTGATTTTAAACTGAAACTTTTCCCACACTCAAGGCATTTATAGGGTCTTTCTCCTGTGTGGATTCTCCCATGTTTAGTAAGGGATGAACTTTCCATAAAGCTTTTCCCACACTCGAGACATTTGTAGGGTCTTTCTCCCGTGTGGATTCGCCCATGTTTAATAAGGGATGAACTTTCCATAAAACTTTTCCCACACTCAAGGCATCCATAGGGTCTCTCTCCTGTGTGGGTTCTCTGATGTGTAGTAAGCTTTGAGTTATGAATAAAAGTTTTCCCACACTCCAGGCATTTATAAGGTCTCTCTCCGGTGTGGGTTCGTTGATGTGTAGTGAGCTTTGAGTTATGAATAAAACTTTTCCCACACTCAATGCATTTAAAGGGTCTCTCTCCTGTGTGAACTCTCTGGTGTACAGTAAGTTGTGACTTCTGAATGAAGGTTTTCCCACAGTCCAAGCATTTATGGGGTCTTTCTCCTGTGTGGATTGCCTGATGTCTAGTAAGTTTTGTTCTGTCAGACAAAGCTTTTCCCACAGTCGAGGCATTTATAGGGTTTGTCACCAGTGTGGATTCTCTGATGCTTAATGAGGACTGAGTGGTGAATAAAATTTTTCCCACACTCAAAGCATTTATATGGTCTCTCTCCTGTGTGGATTCTCCTATGTTTAATAAGGTATGAGCTCTGACCAAAAGTTTTTCCACAGTCCAAGCATTTATATGGTTTCTCTCCTGTGTGGGTTCTCTCATGTTTAATAAGGTCCGATCGCGCATTGAAATCTTTCTCACACTGAAGGCATTTATAGCGTCTCTCTCTTGTGTTCAGACATGGATGTCTAATAAAGTTTGAGTGCTGAATGAAACTTTTACCACACTGAAGGCATTTATATGGTCTCTCTCCTGTGTGGATTTTCCTATGTTTATTAAGGTGTGAGCGCTGACTGAAAGTCTTCCCACAGTCCAAGCATTTATGGGGTTTCTCACCTGTGTGGGTTTTCTGATGTATATTAAGGGCCGATTTCAAATTGAAACTTTTCCCACACTCAAGGCATTTATAAGGTCTTTCTCCTGTGTGGATTCTCCCATGTTTAGTAAGCGATGAACTTTCGATAAAACCTTTCCCACACTCAAGGCATTTATATGGTCTTTCTCCTGTGTGGATTCTCCCATGTTGAATAAGGGATGAACTTTTGCTAAAACTTTTTCCACACTCATGGCATCTATAGGGTCTCTCTCCCGTGTGCAGTGTCCGATGTGCAGTAAGGTGTGAACTCTGACTAAAATTTTTCCCACATTCAAGGCATTTATATGGTCTCTCTCCTGTGTGCATTCTCTGGTGTATAATAAGACATGGCTTCTTACTGAAGCTTTTCCCACAGTCTAAGCATTTATAGGGCTTCTCTCCTGTGTGGGATCTGTGATGCGCCATAAGCGGTGATCTCTGACTAAATCTTTTTCCGCACTCCAGGCATTTATAGGGTCTCTCTCCTATGTGCAGTCTCTGGTGCATAATAAAGTTTGACTTCTCACTGAAGCTTTTCCCACAGTCTAGGCATTTATAGGACTTCTCTCCTGTGTGGGTTCTCCAATGTTTAATAAGGCTTGCACTGAAACGGAAACTTTTCCCACAGTCAAGGCATTTGTAAGGTTTCTCTTCACTGGGACTTTTCTGCTGGACTGTGGTTTCCTTGGGATCCTTGCATCCTCCGCCACGGTCAATGGATTCATCAAGTTTCTTCCTGGGATAGTTTCCCAGCTGCATCGCTGATCTGTGTCGATCTCCCCAGGCATTTCCTTGTTCCAAGCACTGGGAAAAATTCCCTTCAGCTCTTCTCAAAACCATCTCCTGCGATTCCACTTTCCTAGAACCTTCCTCCTGCTGATTCTGCTCCTTGTTCTCACTCACTGTCCTATCACCTGCTGGGAGAGAGAGAACCCAGACAGGAGTCACTGCCTCTGCCGGGGAGAAAGGACAGAAAAGGGAATAGCAAAGAGGGAAAACACAACACAGTGACTGTTGGGGAGATGGAGACACTGGATTCTGCCTCCACATCCCACCCAAACACTCCCAGGGAAGGAAAGTCAGGGAGGAAATTCCCAACAGCTAACAGGATAGGTGGGAAGCCGTGACTGATATTTGCCTTCATAATATGACACGGGCTGACTGCAGCCCTGACCTGGGTGAGATGGGGCAGAACTGGGAGCTTTTGCTCACGGCACATTTCAGGAATCCCAGCTTTTTCCTTCTCTCATCGGATGTTTCTGTCTCAGTTTCCCTGACCCCTCACCTGTGCGGGTGCCTCTCAGACTCTCCCTTTCCTCACCAGCCTGGAGATCCGGGACCCACAGCTCTTCCCCTCGTTCCAGCCGGGCGATCAGGTCAGGTTTGGGAATGGGGAATCCTGCACAGGGGGTGAAATCAGGGAAGCTCAGGGCGCATGGAGCATTGGTAGAGTATTTGTCAGAAGGAACATTCCCTGAGTTTAATCTGAGCCTACATGGGACTGTGGTAACTCCGACCCTTTCGAAGGAGCAGGCATGTGGGGTGGGGGAGTGTTCTCACGCACTCACTAGGAGTTCTCAGGGTAGATGAGCTCTGGGGGACTTTCTGGCACATGCAGCTCTGGTGTTAAACTCCTGCCTATTTCCAAACCAGCACATCGGTGCTGGATCTAGTGGTGCTGGGGGAGCTGCTGCACCTCCTGGCTTGAAGTGGTTTCCATTCTATCCAGGGTTTACAGTTTGGTTCAATGGCTCTCAGCCCCGCACTGTACAAATTGTCCCAGCACCCCTGAGCCTGCAGCACCGAAAGCCCTCCCCATGGATGGAGCTCGTCCCAAGAGGACCGGTGAACCCCCTCCCCCCGGGGGGGGGTTTTTTTTTTCTCTTTTTTCTTTGGGGGGGGGTTTTTCTTTCTTCCCCCCCACGAAAAAAAACCCCCCCCCCCCCCCCCCCCCCCCCTTTTTTTTTTTCTTAAAAAACCCACCCCCCATTTGGGGGGGGGGGGGGGGAAAGGGGTCCCACCCCCATGGGGCCCCATAAAGCTCAGTTGTTCAGGCTTTAGCTCCAGCCCCATGCAATGGGGCTCCCACTTTGTGCCCTGGGCCCCACAATTCTAACTCCGGCCCTGCATGGCGGCCCCCCTGAAACCTGGTCGCGGCCCCACAGGGGCCCCGGTTGAGAAGCACTTCACTTTGAGACCTATTCCTTCCTAATCCAACTGAGCAGAGTCAGACACTCAGACCCTACGGCTTATAATAGCTGAGGACACAGGAATCCCTTACCCAGCGAGGTCACTGTCTCGTAATTCTCCTGCATGACATCCCTGTAGAGGGCTCTCTGAGCGGGGTCCAGCAGAGCCCCCTGCCCCTGGGTGAAATACACAGCCACCTCCTCGAAGGTCACCGGCATCTGGAACAACAAGAGTCCCCCGCTCAGCATCTGCTGCCCCAGCCACAATCCCGCTAGTCATGGGGCTGGAGACCCAGAAAAGCAGAATCCCCCCCACAGACACACACCCTGCTCAGAGCAGCCAGGAGGCTTCAGGGAGTGGGAGAAGGTGAGAGCTCCTTGTCCCCCCCAGCACACGGAGCGGGGCAGGGTCTTCTCATTTCCCACCCGCCTGCCAGCCACAGGCTGAGACGGGAAGCAGAGCTCCGAGCCGGGGACGGGGACAGGGACAGGAATCCCGACAGCTTCCCTTCGTACTTCACAGCAGCCTCTGGCCAGTGGGGTCAGGCTCCAGCACTGGGAGTCTGGTCCGTTTTCCCAGCCCTGCCCGGGGGGGTGTTTCCTGCTTCAGAAAAGGGGGAATGTTCCCCCCCCCCAGCCGTGCCAATGGGCCTGTTCTGCACGGCCCTGGCTGGCTCCCCCCGCCCCGCACACACCGGGGGCTGGCGGCAGCTTTCCCGGGCCCGGGGCAGGGAATCGCAGCCAGCTCCGCAGGGAGCAGCCCGGGGCCAAACCCGCCCGCTGGAGCCCGGGGGTGACGGGGGGGGCGGGTCTCTCTTACCTTCCCCCCGAGCGGGGCCCCCGGGGCAGGGGCCCGGGCTGGGCTGGGGGCTCTGCCCTAGGAGACGCTCCCGGGGAGCAGCGGGCAGGGCCCGGCTGGAGGTTCCCCTCTCCCGGCTGCAGCCCGGGCTCCGGGCTCCCAGCACCAGCCGCCGGGGCGCGGGGATCTCGCCGGGAGCCAGAGTCCCCGCAGCGGCTGCGAGTCACTTCCTGGGCCGGGCTGAGCCCCGCGATCCTCCCCCCAGAGCCGCCCCCCAGCCGCTCCTGGGTCCTAGGGATCAACCCTTCGTCTGCAGCGCTCTGCCCCAGAGCCTGCCCCCTTGAGGCCCAACCTACCCTGGGCTCCGGCAGCTTTTCCCCGTACTAAGGGGGCATCGTGCATAGAAGCCACCCTGTTAGTGACTGGACAGAACGGATCCATGCAGACCCCAGGGAGGGGGGAGAAGGGGCGTTTCTAATGGAAATTGGGGATTGTTCCAGAGAGTCCCCAATATCCTCAAGCACGTGGGGGTGAGAGGTCCTGGTCCTAGAGAGGCTGCCCAGAGCCCTAGCAGCAGGAGACACATTTCCCGGGGACACTGACTCTGTGTGACACCTCACCCTAGACATAGGAATGTCGTTTTTCAAGTGCTTAATTTGTGCCAGGGCTTCCCAGGGGTGGGCCCCAGACAGCACCTCTAGGCTTGGCAGTTCATAGCCCCCGTACCTCTGGGCCTGGCACTTCAGAGCCCCGGCACCTCTTGGGCTTGGCACTTTTTGAGCCCCAGCCAGTGTTGAGGGAACACTTTGAATAGTGGGGGTGCTGAAAGTCAGTGCCCTTACCCCTGTCCGCCCCCCCTCCCCAAGTTGGCAGAGGGGACCCAGGAGAGGGGGGCCAGCAGCTGGGAGCCTTGCACTGGTGGGCTGGCAGTGGGGTGCCGGCAGGCCAGGAAACAGGAAGCGGGGATCCAGCAGTGATCGGATCTAACCCGGGCGGCTAAAACCTGAGGGTGCTGCAGCACTCCCTGCACCACTAGTTCCCACGCCTATGGCCCAATAGGGTGACTAGATGTCCCGATAAAATTGGGACTGTCCTGATATTGAGCAGTTTGGCAGTTGGGGTCCCAAATTTCATGGTGCCCTACGCAGCTATGTCTGCTGCGTATGCCTAAGGACGGCCCTGACTGTGGTACACATGTTCCCCTTTATCCCTGACTGAATTTTACTGCACCCTCCCAGATGTTGATCACTTTCTCTCTGTTGAAGGATTACTAATATAATCTCTGCATAAAGATCACTTATTTTTCCTTTAAATACCCACTTGGTAGGAAACCTTTCTGATTTTGCTTTTTTCCTGTTGCCAATTTGTGTAAATCTTCTCGGATTTTTCCTCCTTTTCTTCTCATTATCAGTGCTGCACCTACCCTGGCCCAGCCGCAGCTGTGGCAGCCTGGCCCAGCCCCGAACCTGGGCAGCATGGTCCAGCCATGAACCTTGGTGGCCCGGCCTGGACCCAGGTGAGGGTGGGGCACCACAGCGTGGCCTGGAACCAGCTGGGGGGGGCCTGGCCCAGGGCCAGCCACGGCCAGGGCGGCCCGGCCCAGAGCCAGCCGCAGCCTCAACACAGCTGCGGTGGCCCGGCCCAGTCCCAAACCTGGGTGGCCCGGCCTGGACCCAGCCACGGCAGTGTGGCCCAGCCAAGCCCGAACCCAGGCGGCTCAGCCTGGAGCCAGCCTCAGCTGGGGCAGTGCAAACGGAACCCAGATGGCCCGGCTTGGAGCCAGCCAGGGCTGGGGCAGCCCGGCCTGAAGCCAGTTGCGGCCGGGGTAGCCCAGCTTAGACCCAGCCGTGTTGGCCTGGCCCAGACCTAGCCACGGTCGGGACGCCCCTCCCTGAACCTAGCCCCAGCCTGGACCTGCGGGGGCCAGATGTGGGGAGCCTATCCTGTGGCTCCAGCCCCGGAGCTACCGCAGCAGGGAGAAGCGCCTCTCCCACACAAGCCCAGGTACTGCTGTGAGGAGACAGAGCTGGGGGGAGTCCTCTATCCCTGACGTAGCCCCGGAGCACTCTCCTGCATCCCAAACCCCTCATCCCCAGCCCCACCCAAGCCCATACCCCCAGCCGGAGCCCTCCACCCCACCCAACCCTCTGCCCCAGCCCGGAGGCCCTCATCCCCAGCCCCACCCCAGAGCCTGCACCCCCAGCTGGAGACCTCACACCCCTGCACCCCACGCATCACCTCCATATAGGTGCACATAACAAAATTCATTCTGCACATGGGTGGGAAAAATTAGAGGGAACACCGGTGGTAAGGCTGAGAGAACAGGGGTTTGGGATCAGAATCGCTTTAGCACAACGTGTGTGTCTCCTGCAAATAGACCTAGAGGCCAATGGTCTGATTCTCTTCTCACAACAACCTCACACTGGTGTAGACAAGTCACGTGACTCCAGTGGGATTACTCCTGACTAGCGCCAGGGGGAGGGAGTGGAGGATGAGCCCCATGACCCAGTCAGACAGGTCCTGATTTGTACTGGGGTCAGGGAGAGGGACACGAGATTTCAGAGAGTTTTATCTCTAAGGGAAGTTTGAGGAGCCTGTGACAGGGCAGGGGTGAGGTTGGTTGGGTGACCTCACTGTGCATTTCCATTCCAGACCATGTCTGGATTGCTTTAACCTTTCACCTTACCTCTGCAGCTGGCAGCCATTTCATGTAACACAAAGGACACTGGGAGTGGGAGAAACTAAACTCTACTTTATTATTTAAACAGACAAGCAAAAGGCAGACTCCTTTCCCCACCCCTAGCCCAGCTCAGTTCAGTCCCAGCCCATTGCTCCACCCAACTCCCCCACAGACCGGCAACAGAGCAACATCTACACATTGGGAGAAAAATGCTGAGAAACCATGAGGGATTCTGGGAGCCTGTCACAAAAGGAAATACCCTGAGAGCAGGGAATCCAAAGAGCTCAGGTTAGAGGGATGAGTATGGGGTGAGTGGGGCAGAGACAATCTCTGTCATCCCAACTCAGGACACTGTGGCAGATGGGAAGGGGGTGACCAGCAGGGCTCTCAGGCTCCTCATCTCCCTCTGGCCTGTGATGGGGGTCGGTCTGGCTTCAAGGCTGCCCAGGTCTGTTGACATCCCCAGCTCCCTTTTTGCCTGCATCCTACCTCGGCATCTCAGCAATAGGGAGACGCTGCCCCCTCCCCCATCATTTTTCTTGGGGTGTCGTTCAGCGCTGTCAAGTTTCCTTCCCCACTCTGAACTCTAGGGTACAGATGTAGGGACCCACATGAAAGACCCCCTAAGCTTATTTCTACCACCTTAGGTTAAAACTTCCCCAAGGCACAAAGTCTTTGCCCTTGGATTAGGTAAAACGCTGCCACCACCAAGTGCTTTAACAAAGAACCAGGGGAAAGGACCACTTGGAGTTCCTCTTCCCCCAGTTATCCCCCCAAGCCCTTACACCCCCTTTCCTGGGGAGGCTTGAGAATAAACAAGTTGAGCACAGACCAGCTTGGGTTTCTTAGGACCATAAGAACGCAATCAGATTCTTAAAAAACAGAACTTTATTAGAAGAACAAAACAAAGACAAAAGAAACACTGTGTACGACAAGAGCCATTTAGATTTCAGGAACAGCTTCACACAACACTCAGGCTACGTGTAGTCTCTCTCTGGCTCTGATGCAGCGAGTTCACAGTTCTCAGCCTCAGCCATCTGACTTTTAGGAGGAAAGCCAGCCATTTCCCAGCGCTGTTCTCCCCGCCTTCTCCCCGGCAGTATCTCACATCTCTGCAGGGATCAGGCAGTATCTTCATTCCCTGTTTCAGTCTCTGCCTCCGAGTGCAAATCTAGTGCTCACTCTCAGTGTTTGTGCAGATATGGATAATTGTCATTGTTCTAACAGCACAAAAATCAAGTGACAAAGGGTAGAAAAAGGTCAAAATACAATTAAAAAGGACTATTCTGGCAAAGGACCATTTGTGTTGTGATTTCCCCAATAAATCTGAGCTAAATCTTGTCAAGCTAAACGAATATCAAAATGTGTGACCAAACGGTGGTCGGGGAAGAGAGAAAAACCCACAATACAGGGTGGGCTATAAAGCATGTTCATAAAGTGAAATCTCAGAGAATCTTCAGATTCAAAATCAGGACAATATATTTACCCATTTTCTTCTAAGGTGGCTAAACCTGCTTTACTTCTTGCCTCATTATTTGGTCATGTTAGTTACACAAGTTTTAGGGTTATCATAATAAAAACAAAGCAGCTTCTCACCTAAAAATGATCTGGACTAGCCCAGAAAACAACTGGGAGCAATTTTACCAAGAGACGGAAACCAGGCTATAAGATTAGAAAGGTCAAAACGTGCCTTCAGATTCATTTGGATTCGGACACTTTCCGTCATGGAGAGCCAGAGACACGGTGGTAAGTGACACCTTAGGAGGTGGAGGGGTAGAACGGGGACAGGATAAAACTCTCTATTGCTGGGACAGAGGCTGCTGTGTGGAGAGTGGAAGGTGACGGTGCTGGGGGAAGGAGGGAATCTCTCGGGCTCACCCCATCGCCCTGAAATAGCACAGAAACTAAAAAACAGCCTATTTCGCTCTGCACAGGTGCTCAGGGAACCCGCCGGGGGACCTGCCGTGGTGCCCCTCCCTCGGCCCCAACTATACCACAGCCCAGACCTGTTGGGGTGGCCCCTCGGCCCCAGCTATGCCGTGGCCAGGGCATCCCTACCCCGGCCCAATGCCGGCCGCGGCGGCAGGGCATAGCCAGGACCCAGCCACAGCAGCCTGGTCCGGACCTGAACCTGGCCCGGACCCAGCTGCGGCGGCTTGGCCCTGTCTCAGGGTGCCTCTCCCCAAACCCAGCCCGGGTCCTGTCACCTCTCTCGCCCTCGTAGCCCCGGAGGAATCTGATGGAGGGTCACAGAGATGCGCTGGCTAATCCCAACCGCACTTCCGACCACAGAGAGAACCTCGGAGGCTGATGCTACACAGGTGGGATCTCCAGGCCTCCCACAAAAGGCTGTGAAAATCAGTCCCTCCCAGTGCTGCTGTCTGAATGCAGACAGGGCAGGGAGAAGGGGCAGAGGGGGTGAGTGAGGAGAGGCAGCACCTCTCTACCCCTGTGCTCTCCCTTGCCTCTTATCCCATGATCCCCAAACACTCGATAGCCCAGCACCCAGCTCCACCAGCCTCAACCTTTCAATGTCTAGTTTCCTTCCAAAATACCTCCTCGTCCCTTAACCTTTAATCCCAGCGCCCTGGGGAGGGGAGGAGTTACCAGCCCCCAGGGACACTCCCCCTGCATAGAACAGCCCAGGTAAGTGGGGCCCCAGCCCAAGGGCTGGTGGAAGATGGGGGGTGGGGACAAGTGTCTACAGTGAACATGTGCCCTAGCCTAGTCTTTCTTCTTCGAGTGATGGTCCCTATTGTACTCCAGGAGGATTATGCACATACTCTGGGCCCGGAGCTGGAGCTTTTCAAAGTAGGAGTGTCCACTGGTCCACGCACGTGCCCTTGTACCACCTCGTGGGTCCACCCCAGGCGATAAGGGGCGGGACAGACTGACCGCATCGTCAGTTCCTTCTCACCCCACAGGGTCCGAGTCAGAGCTTCTGCGGTCTTCTCATACTTAGCGCTGTGCTGTCCAAACTTTCCAGGAAGACTGTGTTTTATTCTTGTACATAGGATTTTACTATTTTTGTAGTAATTTTCTTGTTTCTAGAAGGGAACTTCAGCCAGGCAGAGGGACCATCTGGAGGAGTTTCTCTCTCTCTCTTCCTTCCCCCACCTTTGGCCCATCAGCTCAGCAGCCAGGGCTGCAGCAGGGAGGAGGGGCTGATCGTGGCTTCTTCTCTGCCTGGGGTTTGCTTAGACCAGGCAGAGCCAGAGGGTCACTGACCAGCTGTTGCTCGGCTGCTGCTGGATCCTTACCCCAGGGATGCGCAGCTAGATACTTGGGAGGCAAATACCCCTGATGTGTGTGGGAATGAGGAAATGGGTTTGTCACTGTGGCCAGCCCCAGTCAGAGCATTCAGAGAATTTCCCGGCTGTGTGGAGGAATCTCTGATGTCCAACATGGTGTTAGCTCCACTTGGAGCATTTTCCACACTGAGAACATCTCAGAGGTTTCTTCCCTGTGCGGATTTGCGGATGCCTGATACCATGGAAGCACCAAATGAAGCTTCCCCAACATTCAAGGTCCCACTGTTGTGTGGATCGCCGAAGCGTGAGCTTGGATTGAATCTTTTCCCACAGTCAAGCTATTCGTAGGGTTGCTCTCACCCTTGTGGGTTCTCCGATGTTTAGTGAGGTTTGAGCTCTTACTGAAGCTTTTCCCACAAGCAAGGCATTCATGAGGTTTATAGCCTGTGTGGATTCTCTGATGTAAGATAAGGTTTGATCTGTGCATGAAACTTTTCCCACAGTCAAGGCATTTATAAGGTCTTTTTCCCGTGTGGCTCGCCTGGTGTCTAATAAGAGATGATCTGTGTGGGAAACTTTTCCCACAGTCCAAGCATTTATGGGGTCTCTCACCTGTGTGGGTTGCCTGATGTGTAATAAGGGCTGATCTCCGTCTGAAATTTTTCCCACACTCCAAGCACTCATGGGGTCTCTCTCCTGTGTGAATTGTCTGATGTCTATTACGGGCTGATCTGTGTGTGAAACTTTTCCCACAGTCCAAGCACTTATAGGGTTTCTCGCCTGTGTGGATTCTCTGATGTGTAACAAGGCCTGATCTCTGTGTGAAACTTTTCCCACAATCAAGGCATTTATAGGGTCTTTCTCCCCTCTGGATTCTCCAGTGTTCAGTAAGGTCTGATTTGTGGCTGAAACTTTCCCCACAGTCCAGGCATTTATAGGGTCTCTCTCTTGTGTGGATTTGCCGATGTTTAGTAAGGTTTGAGCGGTTATTGAAGCTTTTCCCACAGTCCAAACATTTATAGGGCTTCTCTCCTGTGTGGATTGTCTGATGTGATATAAGGTCTGTTTTCTGAATGAAACTTTTCCCACAGTGCAGGCACTGATGTGGTTTATCTCCAGTATGAATCCTCTGATGTCTAATAAGGTGTGAGCTCTCAATGAAACTTTTCCCACAGTCGAGGCATTTATAGGGTCGCTCCCCTGTGTGGGTCCTCCAATGTCCAATGAGGTGTGAACTACGGCTAAAACTTTTCCCGCAGTCCAGGCACTTATGGGGTTTCTCTCCAGTATGGATTGTTTGATGTGTAACAAGGTGTGATCTCAGAATGAATTGTTCCCCACACTGGAGGCAGTGGTAGGGTTTCTCTTCCTGGGGATTTCTCTGCTGGGCTATGGGATCCTTTTCTCCTCCCCCATATATAATAGATTCATCCGCTTTTTTCTTCGCATGGTTTTCCAGCAGCCTCTCTGACCTGTGCCAATTTCCCCAGGCTTCTCCCTCTTCCAAGCACTGGGATAAATTCCCTTCAGCTCTTCCCACAAAGGTCCCCTGTGATTTCACTTCCCCAGGAATGTGCTCATGATGATTCCCCTCCTCGTTCTCACTCACTCTCTCATCACCTGCTGGGAGAGAGAGACACTCCAGGAGAAAGAGGAATAGCTCAAAGGAAAAACCCAACACGCTAATGCCGTAAAGACTGAGCAATTGGATTCTACCTCTACTTCCCACCCAAACACTCACAGGGAAGGAAAGTTGGGAAGGAAACTCCTGCAGCTAACAGGACGGGCGGAAAGCCGTGAGCGATATCTGCCGACTACAGCCCTGCCTTGGCTGAGACGAGGCAGAACTAAGGGCGCTCGCTCATAGCACATTTTTGGGTTTATCAACTTTTTCCTTCACTCGCCAGAACATTTCGCTGTCAGTTTCACTGAGTCCTCACCTGTGCGAGTGCCTCTTGGTATCTCTCTTTTCTCACAGGCCTGGAGATCGGGGATCCACGGCTCTTCCCCTCGTTCCAGCCGGGCAATCAGGTCAGGTTTGGGAATGGGAAATCCTGCACAGGGGGTGAAATCAGCCCAGATCAGGGTGCATGGAGGATTGGGAGAGTGTCTGTCACAAAGGGCATTCTATGAATTGAACCTGTTCCCGTGCTGTGCTGAGAAAATTTGGAATCCAAGGGGATGGGAACATAGATGAGCCCCCTTGGGAGAGGCAGATGTCTAAGGAGGTGGGGAGAATTATTACGCCCTCACTAGGAGTTCCCAGGAGTTAAACCCCTACAGAGCCCAGAGCCCTCCCCATGGCTGGAGTTATTCCCAAGAAGGGAGGTGACCAGGGACTGTGTGCAACCGAGAAACAATACAGACAGGACAATACACAGTTTCTATCCCCTTGAAAGCTGGGGGATGGGTGTGGATGGTTTAGCACGTCCATTAGGTTTTGGCATCCTGGTCCCATTGAAGGGGGTTTGGAGATGCAAGTCTCTCTCACACAGAAGCTGCGCATTATGGAACCCATGCCCCTCCAATCTAACTGACCAGGGAAGAACCTGACCAGAGTCAGAAATGCAGGCCCAAAACTTTCTAATAACTGAGGGGACGGGAATCTCTTACCCAGGAAGGTCACCGTCTTGTAGTTCTCCTGCATGACGTCCCTGTAGAGGGTTCTCTGAGCGGGGTCCAGCAGAGCCCCCTGCCCCTCAGTGAAATACACAGCCACCTCCTCGAAGGTCACCGGCATCTGAAACAACAAGAGTCCCCCACTCAGAACCTGCTGCCCCAGCTGCAATCCCACTAGTCACAAAGGAAAGGAAGAAGAAAAAAGCAACATCTCGGAAGCTCTGGGAGGACAACAGTGGCAGAATCCCACCCCAACCGTGCTCAGAGCAGCCAGGTGGCTTCAGGGGGTGGGGAGAAACTGAGAGCTCCTTGTCCCTTCCAGCAGATGGAGGAGGGCAGGGTCTTCTCATTTACCATCCACCTGCTAAGCCAGAGGTTGATACAGGAAGCAGAGCTCTGAGCGGGGGACAGGAATCCTGACAGCTTCCCTTTGTATTTCACAGTAGCCTCTGGCCAATGGGTTCAGGGTCCAGCACTGGGACTCTCTTCAGTTTTCCCAGCCCTGCTCTGGGGGGGTTTCCTGGTTCAGAAATGGGGGGGGGGGGTGTCCCCACCCCCACAATGGGCCGGTTTGGAAAATCAGGCCCAGGGTGAACCTGTCCCAGCAGGTTTATCACACTCTATCCCCTCCCTCCCTGCCTCACACTGTGTGTTTCCTCCACAACAACCCTCCCTTCAGCTCCCTGAAAATCTCCTACCTGATCTGGCTCCAACACAGCCATTTCCCTTCTCTCTCCCGTGGGAATACAGGCCGATCTGGACTGAAACCTGGATGTGATTCTCCAGCCTGTCAGGGTGAGAGGGGAGATTGGGGAGGTTACAGAAAGGGCTTGAGTCCATTTCAAACCCCAATTCCCCCACAGGCTCTCTCCCTTACTCCTGGGGGAATTCTGTGCAACTGCGCATGCACAGAATTTATGTCCCCCGTATATTTTTGTTTCCCTGCAGAAAAATTACTTTCTGATGGGGAAGCAAAGGGAAGCCACAAAAGCAGTCATGCGACCCTCCCCAGCAGTATGTTTCTGGTGCACAGGGCAGCTGGCAGAGAGGTAAACCACTGTGGGGCGGGTAGGGTGGCTCCTACCCTGCGTTGGGCTTAGCTGTTAGTCCTGGCTGGGCTGGAGAAGACGGGACTTCCTATTCTCCAGCACGGCACCTGAGGCCATGTCAGACGCACCCCCAGATTTCTCCTCTGATGTAGGAAGCTCTGTGAACTCACCCTCCCACCCACACTTCCTGCACCCATCGCTCCTCAGCTGCAGGGGAAGGGATGACTGTACAGGGAGCTGGTCCCGCATCCACCCAATCCCCATGCATCCAGACCCCCTCACAGCCAGACTCTTCCACCGAGCCTCGCCCACCTCCGCACCCAGCCCGAAAAGCTCCACTCCTCCTGCACTTTGACCACCCCAAGGAGCCACCCACACCCAGATCCCCACCCTACCTACCCCCAACTAGATGCACCTGGATTGCAACCACACTGAGCCCCACTCCCCAGCATCTGGATGCCCCCATTAAGCCTCTCACACCCAGACCCCCTGGCTGAGCTCTATATCGCCCACACATTCAGACCTCCTTGCTGAGATCTATCCCCCACCCACACCCAGACCCCACCCTGCTGAGCCCTAACCACCTTCACCTGGACCCCCCTGCGGAGTCCCATTACCGTTCCACCCATAAACCCCAAACAAGCCCCTGTGCATCCAGATCCCCCCCTCACATGGATCCCTCACTGAGCCACCCAGATTGCTCCACACAGGACCCTCTCAAACCACACCTGGATTCCTCCAGCACCAAGACCCTCCCCACTGGGATCCTGCCTTGCTGAGCCTGCCTGCCCACACCTGGTGCACCTGGCATGGGGGGCAGGGCTCTGGGGTGTTTCTGGGGCAGGCCCAGTCCTTGCGCTGTGTCAAGGTTGGGTGCAGCCTCACCACTGAGTCCGTGTACTGGAAGCGCGGAGCTGCACAGTGATCTCCCACCTCTGTGCAGCCAATGGCCTGTGCTCCCTAATGCCCATGCTGGAGCTTCCTCGTTTATTTGACCCCAAAAAATTGCAGAATTTTAAAATACTGTGCACAAAACTTTTAATTTCTTGGTGCATAATGCCCTCAGGAGTATCTCCCTGCAGACAGACACTCTGGACTCTGCCATGCTAGGAAGACAACTGGTTAGTTTATCACTCCTCAGACCAGGCCCCTCCCAGCAGAACTAAACCCACCAGGGCACTTTTAAATTCTCTCAGTAAAAGCATCCCTGAGGCGAATGCTAGAAAAAGAGCAGAATCAAAGGAGCCAGTTTGGGGGATTCCCCCTGACACTGTCCCCAAAGGCAGCACATCCCCCCACCCTCCGAGCAGCCCAGTGATTCAAGAGAGACAGGACCTGGCTTTTCCTCTCCCAGCTCCTCCTCTTGTTCCCAGGAGAGGAAGTCTGCCCAGGGGGTGCAGGGAATGGATCCGGGCAGGGCTGGGACCTGAGAACCTCCCTCCCCACTTACTGCTCCTGCTGCCCCTTTCAGTCTGGTCACTCTCTGTTTCTATCACCATCCCTCTCTCCCCTTCCCTCTATCCGGGAGAACTGATTCTGCCCCATTTACATGGCCATTTGCTCTTCAGTAGACTGATCGGTTTGAACCTGGCTGTGTGAGGGCAACAGCTCTGGGACCCAGGGCCAGTGTAACCACTAGGCGAACTAGGCGGCTCCCTAGAGCACCAAGATTTGGGGGCGCCAAAAAGCGGCGCCCAAACATTTTGTTTTACACTATTGCTTAGGGGCAGGCACCTGTCAGTCTCCAGTGCTCGGGCCGCTGCGCCAGGGTCAAGCAGCCTCTTCACCTTGGAGTCTCCCCCGCTTGCCCGGGGGCCACTCCTCCTCTTAGGCTCCCCGGCTGCTGCCGCCGTGGCCACCCGGGAGGATGCGGGCGGGGGGCGCCGCCGCGGAGGAGACGCAAGGGGCCAGGCTCAGCTGGGGCCCGCCGGAGAGCAGCAGCAACCGGGCGCTGCTCGGAGCGGGGGGGGAGAGCCGGGCGGCAGCAGCCTCTACAAGGTGGAAGTTTCACCTAGGGTGTAAAATATCCTTGCACTGGCCCTGCTGGGACCTGCGGGCACAGGTGGAGCCCCTCCCCCTCTGGTACAAACTCACCAACAGGTCCCTGAAAGGGGCCCTTTGTGCAGAGTCACTTTCCTGCCTGGCCCCAGCCCTGTCCCCCGGGGGTCTCTCGCCTCACCTGCCGGCTCCAGCTCAGGGGCTGTCAGCAGAGCCCGAGGCTGCCCCTGGGGCTGGGTCCAGCCACCGAGAAAGTTCCCACGGGGGCTGGGCAGGGAAGGGGCTTTGATGAAGGTCTCTCCCAGGCTCAGACTCTGCTGGATAAGAAGCAGCGTCTCAGTCTGGGCTCCCAGATCAAAATGGAGGAGGCAGCAGCTTCTGACCCAGAGAGCTCAACTCCAGGGCTGTAATAACAGGAGCAGGGAGAGAAACACACCCGCCGTCTCCTCCTCTCCCTTAGCCAGAACCGGAGCCCTCTGGTGGCAGCAGCTAATGCCTGAGCCTCCCTGTCCTGCCCCGGCAACCCCCAGGGACAGGCAGGCAGAGGCTGATCCCATTGGCCCATCCACACTCACCCCCTGCCAGAGCCAGCAGTGACTCCGGTCTGACTCCGGTGTGGCTGAGATCTGAATCCTGCCCGGAAATCAGACCAGGGCCCTGGGCAGCCCCGAACACTCAGGAGACAGACCTCCCAAAATCACGGGTTTGTCTGAAAATAATAAATTGGGGAGGGGGAGTGGAAATTCGCCTTGTAGCTTCTGAGCCCTGCGGAGTTAGTCCCCTGATCACCCCAAATACTGCTTTGAGTAGTTTCAGGAGAAAAAAAAATCCCCAGTGCCTGTTGGGCAGGGCAGCCCCTCACCGTCTCGTGGGGCGGAGGCGTTGCCTTTGAATCTCTCCCCATCCCTCTGCCTTCTCCCTGCCTCTGTCTCTCCCTTCCCCAGGCAGTCTCCCCACATCCCCCCCTTTCCCTCGCAGTGCCCCCCCACATCTTCCCTCTATTTCAGCCTCTTTCCCTTCAGCCCCATAGGTCCTCCCGATTCCCCTGCATCGCCCCATCCTCCCTTCAGTGCAAGCAACCACTGCCCCCCATCCCACCCTGCCCCCTGCATCGCCATCACCGGCCTCCTGCCCCCTCCATCCCGTTCCCCCCGCCTGCCCACACATACCCCTGCACCTCCTCCCTCTGCAGCCCGGGGGTGACCCTGGGGGGGGCGGGTCTCTCTTACCTTCCCTCCGAGCGGGGCCCCCCCGGGGCAGGGGCCGGGCCGGGAAGGGGCCCTGGCCGGGCTGGGGGCTCTGCCCTGGGAGAGGCTCCCGGGGAGCAGCGGGCAGGGCCCGGCTGGAGGTTCCCCTCTCCCGGCTGCAGCCCGGGCTCCGGGCTCCCAGCACCAGCCGCCGGGGCTCGGGGATCTCGCCGGGAGCCAGAGTCCCCGCAGCGGCTGCGAGTCACTTCCTAGGCCGGGCCTGAGCCCCGCGATCCTCCCCCCAGAGCCGCCCCCCAGCCGCTCCTGGGTCCTAGCGATCAACCCACCGCGCTGCAGCCGCCTGCCCCAGACCCTGCCCCCTGGGGACGCCACCTGCCCTGGGCTCCTCCAGCTTCTCCCAGCGCTATGTAGACGCCCTGCCCAGAAGCCACAGGATCGATGGGGGGACAGAAAGTAGACGTGCAGATCCCGGGGAGAAGGGGGGGTTTCTAGGGAGACTCCAGGTTGTTCCAGAGAATCCAGGGGTGTCGGGGAGCAGGGGACACTCTGTGTGTGATCCGCTCTGGTAACAAGACTGGCACAGGGAGCAGGTGGTCAGAGCTGGTCTCTTCTCTCCACACCAGGCTCACTGGCCACCAGACCTGGGCCGGAGCTCCCAGCTCTGCTCCCCTGGCTCGGGTCATGGAGCTGTCAGAGCTTTGACTCTGGCTTCTGCTGGTTGACTTGCTGGTCCACATGAACCTGCCCTGGGCTCTATTTAAACCCCTTCATGTCTGCCCCTCTCCCAAGGATCCCCTCTGCCCATCTCCCAGTGGCTCCCCCTGTGGGCACTGACTGCAGCTCCCCGTGGCTCTGCCCACTCAGGATTGTCCCCATTTCCCCCTCATTGTATCCTGGCTCCGTGCTGCACCCCATAAGTGGTCAGCAGATTTGGCTCCTACGGGGGGGGCACAACTGTGCACTCTCACCCACAGGCACTGCCCCCCCCCGCTCCCAGCCCACAGCAGGGGCAGTGCACAGACCCTCATGCTCCCCCTCACACACACACACCTGGGAGCCGGACCTGCTGGCCCCTTCCAGGGCACAGCACAGTGCCAGGACCGGTAGGGACGAGCCTGCCATAGCCCTGCAGCACCGCCGACCGGACTTTTACCGGCTTGGTTGGCAGAGCTGACCGTAGCGGGCAGGGTCCTTTTTCAACTGGGCGTTCTGGTCAAAAACCAGACACCTGGCAACCCTAATGGGAAATGCCAGCCAGGGGGGATTTCCATTGCAGATGAAACATTTTCCCCACCAATCCCTAGAAGAGTCTGAAAAGCTGAAGAATTAGCAGCTCTGGTCTGAGCATGGGCAGCAGGCTTAGCCACCCCCAGACGCCTGGGCTGTGGTGGTCCCACATGCACTCCGCCTCTTCCCCTCCCTGCTTCGCCCCTTCCCTGAAACCCCCACTGCCCAGGTGCTGCCTTGTGAGTCCCTCCTTGCCTCTTGCCCACTCCACCTCCACACCCTTGGAGGTTCCCACTGCTTGCTGTGTCCCTCCTCAGGGTGGCTTGGGCAAGCGGCTTGGGCTGGTGCTTGGGTCGGCCTGGGGTCAGGCGGGTGCTGGATCCGGTCCTCCTCCAGCACATGGTGGGAGTGGGGGGGGGTGAGGGGGGACTCAGGGCTCTGGCGGGTGAGGGGGGCTGCCAGAGGCAGGGCCTCTGGCAGAAGGGGTGGAGCCAGGGCACTAGGCTCCCCGAAGGTGGTGGTGGGGGGTTACCCGCTGTCCATGGGTATGACACTAAGAGCTCCAGTGTTGAGGGGAAAAGGGTGCATTGTTCTATAAGGGCAACACCTATCAGGCCTGACCCACTCCTCATGCATTGCTTTCACAGTATTTATCCAGAACAGGTCATGGGAAGTCGCTAATAAAGGCTTATATCACACTGTTCCTCATGATCCTTGAAAGAAGCGTGGGCAGATGATCTTTAAGGAATTAAGTTTAAAACAGTTTCTGGTATATAAAGTCTGAATCCAGTCGGGGCTGACAAACCGGTTTTGCCAGAAGAGGGATTTCTTTTCATCTCTCCCACAATTCATAGGTAGATGAAGCATTGTAAGGAACACAATTGAAGTCCTGTTTCCATATAGCAGTGGTTCTCAAACAGGGGTACGTGTACACCTGGGGTACGCAGAGGTCTTCCAGGGGGACATCAACTCATCTAGATATTTGCCTCATTTTACAACAGGCTACAGAAAAAGCACTATCGAAGTCAGGACAAACTAAAATTTCATACAATGACTTGTTTATACCACTCTATAGACCACACACTGAAATGTGGGTACAATATTTATATTCCAATTGATTTCTTTTATAAAATAAGGTACAAATGAGAAAGGAAGCAATTTTTCAGCAATAGTGCGGTGGCTGTGACACTTGTGTATTTTTGTCTTATTTGGTAAGCAAGTCGTTTTTCAGTGAGGTGAAACTTGGGGGCAGGCAAGACAAATCAGACTCCTGAAAGGGATACAATGGTTGGGAAAGTTTGAGAGCCACTGGCATATAGACCAACAGAAAGAACACACTGGAGAACAAACACAGGGGGGTGGGGGAGAGAGCACTTGAGCTGTTTACTGGACTATACCTGGGGAACAAGAACTGCACCCTGCAATCCTTCAGGAAGCAAAACAGGAGAGCACGTTTTGCATTTGTGAAAAGGGGGATCCCAGTGAAGATGGCTGGCGACCCTGGGAGAATGCTTTAGCCACGGATTTTACTTGTTAAAGTTAAACTCAGACCGTCTGAATCCCGATATACCTGGTGTTTGTATGTGTAACCTGTTGGTCTTATTGCTTCATTGATAAACTCCTGTTTGTTTTCACTAAAATTATATCTCAGTGCTGTGATGTTATATTGGCGCCGACCCTCAGTTGAATCAAACAAGCTGGTATTGTCCCTTTGGGGACAGCTTACCTGGGAATTTCTCCGTGTCCAGTGGAGAGGGGCTGGGCACTGCAGAAGGACACGTCAGAGAGGCTGGAGGAAAAGGTTACATCTAGTGTGAACCTGCAAGGTAAAGTAAGGACTGGCAGAGCCCTGGGGAGTTTGTGTGGGGAGCTAAGGCTGGAGGTGACAGGGAACAGACACCCAGTTCAGCAGAAGCACGTCTCCCTTGCGCTGAGGCTGGGGGGGGGGGGGGAGTAACAAGGAGATTCACAGTCTGGGACGTCTGGAGGAAACATCACAGTCGGAACCTGCAGTGTGAGGAGCTCAGGGATGGTGAAATAACAGGCTTAGAAAAGAAACAACCCACCCACCTCCCATGCTGGGGATTCCACAAGCTTCCTTCGAAGCTATTCCAGAGCTTAAATACCCACATGGTTAGAAAGTTTCCTAATCTCGCACTAAATCTTCCTTGCTGCAGTTTAACATTTTTTACTTCTCATCCTCCCTTCAGTGGCCATGGAGCACAACTGATCCCCAGTCTCTGTATAACAGCCCTTAGCAAGGCTGCAGACCATCACCAGTCTGGTTTTCTCAAGACTGATAGACCCACTTTTTAAAATCTTCCTCCACAGGTTGGGTTTTCTAGATCTCTGGTCATTTTATTTTGCCCTCCTGGGGGCTTGATCCAATTTGTCCTCATTTTTTCTGAAGTGTGGTGCCCAGAACTGGACACAGGACTCCAGCTTTGGTCTCGCCAGGGCCGAGCAGAGTGGGACAATGACCTCCTGCAACTTACATACAATACTCATGTTACTGTGCCCCAGAATGATACCAGCTTTTTCCCCAGCTGCGTCAATAGGTGACAGCCAGACAGCGTCTGAGTGAGTCCATTAAAGACCATTCCCCCTCGCCCATGTTATTCAAGACAAGGGACATTGGGAGTTTGAGAAACTAAATTCTACTTTATTCTTTTCAAAGCAAGAAATAAAAGCTGAATTCCGCACACCTCGAAAATCCAATGCCCAGCTCAGCATGGTGCGTTTCAGCCACAGCCCAGCACATTGCTGCTCCGGCCACACATGGCCCCCAGGGAAAGAGGAACAAGTTAAAGCTAGTAGAAAAACCACTCACAATCCATGAGAGAGGCACTTGCCCTCCCTCCTCCTCTCAGCAATGGGGAGACACTGACCCCTCTCCACAGCAGTCCTCTTGGGGCTTAATTTGTAGCCCTTTAGAGTTCAAGGATGACTTCACCCAGCACTCGTAGGACATTTCCTCTCTCTGGGACTTATGCAGTGAGTTCACAGTTCAAAGCCTCGCAAGAGCAAAGAGTGCCCTTTCAAGGCCCTGGCCACCCACCCATCCACCCTCTCCCCATCCTGATTGTATCTCACATCTCTGCAGGGATCAGGCAGTCACTTCCTTCCATATCTCTGACTCTCAGAGTGCATATCCAGCACTCGTCCTGAAGAGTTTCTGCAGATAGATGTTGATCATTTTCATTGTTCAAAGAACAAGAAATGAACAAAGAACAAAATGACAAAGGCTAGGGAAATATGAAAAGAAAATCAGAAAGGACTGTTTTGGCAAATGACCATTTCTCTTTTGAAGTCCCCAAGAAATCTGAGCTACAGCCTGTCAAACTAATTTAGTGTCAAAATACATGACAGAACAGCCTTCACCAAAAAGAGAAAAACCCACAAACCAGGGTGGGCTACAAACCACTTTCCCATTCATGAAGTGAAATCCCAGAGAATCTTAAGACTCAAAATCTGAAGAACAATTTTACCCATTTCCTTCTGAACAGGCCAAACCTTCTTTACTCAGCACCACCGCATTATTTGGCTGTGTTATTGTCAAAAGTTTTAGCATCATCATAATAAAAGAAAAAGGAAAAAAAGACAAACCTAACCAAAAACTTCCCGTCTAGAAATTATCTGGATTTGGCTCAAAAAACTCCAGATGCCACTTTACCAATAGATGGAGGCTAGGATTGAAGCTCAAACTGTGCTTTGGGATTCATTTGAATTCCCCCTTCAGGTTTTGTGACATTTTCTTCTTGAGTCCTCAGGCGCCTGATTGAGGATCAAAGAAATTAAAGTGTGATTCCGAAGCATGGCAGCCAAAGGACACTTGGTAAATGACACACATGAAGCGGGAGGGGTAGAAAGGGAAAAGGATAACCTCTCTATGGCTTGGGCAGAGGCTGCTCTGTCAAAGAAGATGAGTGAGGTTGATGGGGGCAGGAGAGAATCCTCCAGACTCACCCCGTCCCTCTCAAACAACACAGAAGGTAAAACACCACATTATTTTACTAGCCCTGCTCCAGCTCTTTTAGAATCTATTGAATCCAGGTGTATAAGGGAGAAACAGCACCAAAAATTAAATGCTTTTCACCATAAAGTGGAGGAATGTGAGGATGTCTGGAAATGAGACAATCACTTTGCTAATGGGGGATTGGAATAAACTGCTCAGGGTCAGTCTAGACAAGAAAAAGTGGTGGAGGAACAAAGGAGATGCCCTAGCTAATCCCAACCACTTTTCCTGCCCTAGACAGATGCTTGGAGGCTGATATTATCACTCCCCATTTATTCCCCCTCTGTAAGGCACAGATTTGTCTCAGGTCACCCCGCAAGCTGCTGGCAGAGTTGGGAATAAGTTTAGGTCTCCTGGGTCCCAGGCCAGTGCTCTATTCATTAAGCAACATTGCTTCCCTCTCAGAGGCTGATACTGCAGTAGCAGAGGTGGGAAATCCAGGCTTCTAAGAAAAGGCCCTGTGGGAATCAGCCCCTCCCAGTGGTGCTGCCTGAATGCAGCGGGGGCAGGGAGACGGGGCAGAGGGGTTAATGAGGAGAGGCACCATCTCGTTACCCCTGTGCTCTCCCTCGCCTCTTATCCCATAATCCCCACACACCCGATACCCCAGCACCCAGCTCCCCCAGCCCCAACCATTCAATCCCCAGTTTCCTCCCCAGAACCCATCACCCTGGTCCCTTAACTTCTGATCTCCCACAGCCCAGGGCCATGGGTGATTTGGGGAGGGGAGGAGTTACCAGCCCCCAGGGACACTCCCCCTGCAGGGAACAGCTCCAGGTAAGTGGGGGAGCCCAGCCCAGGGGCTGGTGGAAGATAGGGGGTGGGGACAGGTGTCTAGAGTGAAGGTGGGGCCTGGCCCAAGTGTCCTTCTCCTCATTTCCATGGCAGGGGGATCCCATCTGGAGGGGGGAAACTTCAGCCAGGCAGACGGAGGGGCTGGAGGAGTTTCTCTCTCTCCCTTCCCCCACCTGCGGCTCATCAGCTCAACACCGAGGGCTGCAGCAGGGAGGAGGGGTTGATGGAGATTTTTCCTCCTCTGCCTGGGGTTTGCTTAGACCAGGCAGAACCAGAGGGTCACTGACCAGCTGATGCTCGGCTGCTGCTGCATCCTCACCCCAGTGATGGACAGCTGGGTCCTCGGGAGCCAAATGCCCCTGATGTCCGAGGGAACAAGGAAATGGGTTTGTCACCATGGCCAGCCTTGGTCAAGGCCCTGAGAGAATTTCCCTGCTATGTGGAGTAGTCTCTGATGTCCAACACAGTGTTAGCTCCACTTGGAGCATTTTCCACACTGAGAACATCTCACAGGTTTCTTCCCTGTGCAGATCTGCAAATGCCTGATACTCTGGGAGCACCAAATGAACCTTCCCCAACATTCAAGGTCTCTCTGTTGTGTTGATCACTGATGTGTGAAGTCAAATTGAATCTTCTCCTGCAGTCAAGCTATTCGTAGGGTTGCTCTCACCCTTGTGAATTATCTGATGTTTGGTAGGCGCTGAGCTCTTAATGAAGCTTTTCCCACTCTCAAGGCATTTATATGGTCTCTCTCCTGTGTGTACTCTCTGGTGTATAAGTTGCGACTTCTGAATGAAGCCTTTCCCACAGTCCAGGCATTTATGTGGTTTCTCTCCTGAGTGGATTTTCTGATGTGTACTAAGGGTTGATTTCAAACTGAAACTTTTCCCACACTCAAGGCATATGTAAGGTCTCTCTCCAGTGTGGGTTTGCTGATGAATAATAAGGTTTGCACTGAAAAGGAATCTTTTCCCACAGTCAAGGCATTTGTAAGGTTTCACTTCATTGTGACTTGTCTGCTGGACTGGGGTTTCCTCGGGATCCTTGCATCCTCCGCCACGTTGAATGCATTCATCCAGTTTCTTCCTGGGACAGTTTCCCAGCTGCATCACTGATCTGTGTTGATCTCCCCAGGCATTTCCCGGTTCTAAGCCCTGGGAAAAATTCCCTTTGGCGCTTCTGAAAAAAGTCTCCTGCGGTTCCAATTTCCCAGGAACTTCCTGCTGCTGATTCTCCTCCTTGTTCTCACTCACTGTCCTATCACCTGCTGGGAGAGAGAGAACCCAGACAGGAGTCACTGCCTCTGCCGGGGAGAAAGGACAGAAAGGGGAATAGCAAAGAGGGAAAACACAACACAGTGACTGTTGGGGAGATGGAGACACTGGATTCTGCCTCCACATCCCACCCAAACACTCCCAGGGAAGGAAAGTCAGGGAGGAAATTCCCGACAGCTAACAGGATAGGTGGGAAGCTGTGACTGATATTTGCCTTCATAATATGACACGGGCTGACTGCAGCCCTGACCTGGGTGAGATGGGGCAGATCTAACTGGGGGCTTTTGCTCACGGCACATTTCAGGAGTCCCAGCTTTTTCCTTCTCTCACCAGATGTTTCTGTCTCAGTTTCCCTGACTCCTCACCTGTGCGGGTGCCTCTCAGACTCTCCCTTTCCTCACCGGCCTGGAGATCCGGGACCCACGGCTCTTCCCCTCGTTCCAGCCGGGCGATCAGGTCTGGTTTGGGAATGGGGAATCCTGCACAGGAGGTGAAATCAGGCAAGTTCAGGGCTCATGGAAAATTGGTAGAGTATTTGTCACAAGGAACATTTCCTGACTTTAACCTGACCCTACATGGGACTATGGTAACTCCGACGCTTTGTGAGCAGCAGATATCTGGGGGAGGGGTGTTGTCATGCCCTCACTAGGAGTTCTCAGGGTAGATGAGCTCTGGGGGATTTTCTGGTACACGCAGCTGTGGTGTTAAGCTCCTGCCTATTTCCAAACCAGCACATCGGTGCTGGATCTAGCAGTGCTGGGGGAGCTCCCAGACCCCCGGCTTGAAGTGGTTTCCATTCTATCCCGGGTTTACAGTTTGGTTCAGTGGCTCTCAGCACCCCCACTGTACAGATTGTCCCAGCACCCCTGAGCCTGCAGCACCGAAAGCCCTCCCCATGGATGGGGCTCGTCCAGAGAGGACTGGTGAACGGTGTGTGAAGGAGAAATAACACAGGCAGGGCAATCCCCTGCTTCTGGCCCCTTGAAAGCTGGAGAGATGGGGATGAATTAGCCTGTCCATTAGGTTTCTGCCTCCCCTGTTCCCTTGAAGGGGGCATGGAGAGGAGCGTCTCTCTCACAGTGGAGCTGTGGACTCTACCAGGGGTTCTCAACCTTCTTCTCTCTGAGGCCCCCCCGACATGGTATAAAAACGCCACGGCCCACGTCTGCCACACCAACTTGTTTTCTGTCTATAAAAGCCAGGACCAGCATTCAGGAGCAGGGCAAATACCCGGGGTCCCACGCCCCATGGGGCCCTGCAAAGCTCAATTGCTCAGGCTTTAACTCCAGCCCCATGCAGTGGGGCTTCCACTTTGTGCCCTGGGCCTCAGTAAATCTAACGCTGGCCCTGCATGGCGGCCCCCCGAAAGCTGGTCGCGGCCCCACAGGCACCCCCGGTTGGGGAGCACTTCACTTTGAGACCCATTCCTTCCTAATCCAACTGAGCAGAGTCAGCCACGCAGACCCTACGGCTTATAATAGCTGAGGACACAGTAACCTCGCTGGGTAAGGGATTCTAGTCTTGTAATTCTCCTGCATGACATCCCTGTAGAGGGCTCTCTGAGCGGGGTCCAGCAGAGCCCCCTGCCCCTGGGTGAAATACACAGCCACCTCCTCGAAGGTCACCGGTAGCTGGAACAACAAGAGTCTCCCCTCAGCGCCTGCTGCCCCAGCCACAATCCCACTATTCATGGGGGAGGAGACCCAGAAAAGCAGAATCCCCCCCACAGACACACACCCTGCTCAGAGCAGCCAGGAGGCTTCAGGGGGTGGGAGAAGGTGAGAGCTCCTTGTCCCCACAGCACACGGAGCGGGGCAGGGTCTTCTCACTTCCCACCTGCCTGCCAGCCACAGGCTGAGACGGGAAGCAGAGCTCCGAGCCAGGGACGGGGACAGGGACAGGAATCCCGACAGCTTCCCTTCGTACTTCACAGCAGCCTCTGGCCAGTGGGGTCAGGCTCCAGCACTGGGAGTCTGGTCCGTTTACCCAGCCCTGCCCGGGGGGGGGTGTTTCCTGCTTCAGAAATGGGGGAATGTTCCCCCCCCCCTACCACCCCACCACCCCCCGTGCCAATGGGCCTGTTCTGCACGGGCCTGGCTGGCTGCCCCCACCCCGCACACACCGGGGGCTGGCGGTGCAGTGTAGTAAATTACCCTGGGTAGGAATGACAGGTTTCAGAGGAACAGCCGTGTTAGTCTGTATTCGCAAAAAGAAAAGGAGTACTTGTGGCACCTTAGAGACTAACCAATTTATTTGAGCATGAGCTTTCGTGAGCTACAGCTCACTTCATCAGATGTAAGTGAGCTGTAGCTCACGAAAGCTCATGCTCAAATAAATTGGTTAGTCTCTAAGGTGCCACAAGTCCTCCTTTTCTTCCTGGGTAGGAATGTGCATCTGACTGTGTCCTGAGCATGCTCAGTTCATCTGCTGAAGCCACTGCCCTTCACGCTGCCCTTATTAGCCTGTAAGATTCTATGGATTGCTATTGACAGGGGTTAAAAAGGGGCAAAGGGGGCAAATCGGAGCAGGGGGGTGGCCAGGGTCTGCGCAGGGGGCGGAAATTGACTGATCGGGGGGCGAAGCAGCTGGAGGCAGCATTAGGAGAGGGGCTAAAGGGCAAAATCAGGGCTGGGGGGGTGGAGCAGGAGTTAAGTCCAGTGGTGAGGTGCTGGCAGAGGGTGTCAGAGGGCAAAACCCGGCACAGGCGAGGGCACTGGGGGTAACAGTTACCCCAGTGGGATGACACACCAGTGTTTGCAAAAATGTTGGGGGGGCAAAGGGGCTTTTTAATTTCCCCTCCCACAGACAGCACCTCTCAGCATGGGCTTCCAAGGCTGGGTTCTTAAAGGCACAGGCATCCCAATGCCTAGTCAGGGCCGCTCCTCTTGGTCTGATCTAACCCACTGAGGCTACGTCTACACTACAAAGTTCAAAGCGATGCCGCGGGTGCCAGTGCTCCTGGTAATCCACCTCCACGATTATGAAAATATGCTTAGGATATGGATATGACATAGCTAATATATAATTTATGCAACATGGCTGATGTGGGATATCATTGCAAAACTTAAGACCTATTGACTGTGTTTATCCACTCTGAATGCATGTAATGTTTGTATCTGAGGTTAAAAATATTGACCATGTCTCTGTATTTCAAATGTGCTGTGTTGGATGAGGCCAGATAATGTTAATGGCTTATTGAAGGAATGCACAAAGACAAAGATTACCCCAGGAACTGTGTGCAATAGGAACCTCTGAATGATAGTGCTATACAATGGGGACTATTTGACCAAGATCAGATACCTCTACACAGTGGGTGCTATTTGACCCAGGTCACAGCACAAGAGCCTTCCAGAAAGTGGGGGGAAGAAAGAAAAGGTGGACAGTGACAGCCTACAAGAACAACCGGAAACACCTGAGGTACAAAGACTGAACAGTGAGAAGTGATTGTCCCAGCAATCTGGATGATGGGAAGACCAACACTTCAGCTCAGCTCAGCATACTGAGAACAAGCAGGATCTGACATTATCAACCTCTGAAGAATAATCCAGGTGTCTAATTAATCTTGTGTCCCCATTATGCAGACATAGCCCTTTTTCTCACTGCTAATAAAACTTACGAAAACACAACAAGACAAGTTAAGTTTTAACAGTGAAGACAAAGGCTAAAGAAAATGTTTCAAAAATTAAATGAGAGAGCAATGAGGTGACATGTGAGTACCACAGTTTTGAGTGTAATTTTTGTGGTGATACCTCTTTGCTCCTTCTGTGTGTGTAACAGTGACAGAGGTGGAAGTCTGTATAAAGCACAATGGTAGATTTTCTGCCTGTGAGCTTGCTTGCCAAAGGAATTAAGTATTTCACATACTATTTATAATGCTTTTCACTACTCTCAATGTTGTGTGTGCATTCAGTGTTTTTTTTTTTTTATTAATAGACTATGACTTACTATGAGGTGGAAAGGGACTAATAAAGATTTCTTTTTAAATGTTCAGACTTTCATTAAGGGTTTTTCATGCAATAGCCATGAAATTCCACTTGCAAAATGTTTTTTAAACAGTCCTGAAAATATAGGAATATGGGATTGGTTCTCTCTTCTCCAAAAATGTGTTTGGTATCAAGTGTTTGTCTAATGGGTATTTTGAGGATGGCAACTAACCATCTTGTCATACAGTGAAAGTGTCCCTTAAGATTTCTTGCGTAATAAACATGTACATAAGGCTATGACGCTGGCCCTAAACCATGGTGGATTTGATTTAAATTTAAATCATAATTTAAATCACTAGTCAGGAAGACTATTTAAATTTCATTTCTAGAAGGTACACACCATACATTTTTAAACAGGGATTTATTTAGAAAACTTTTAAGAGTAGTTTTACAGCTATATCAGAAAGTGAATGTGTGACATTTTATTCCTGGGGGGAGTGTACCCCATATTCCTCATTTTCATATCATCATGATCTTACATATAAAGCATGCCTCATAAGGTATCTGGGGAAAGGGTTAGGGTTACACACCAAACCTGTCCAAAGGAAAGTTTATGGCATACATTTTTTTCCCCTTTCTGCTTAACCTAGAGATGTGCACAAAAAACACGGGGAATACAACATAGCTTCACCAGCCCAAACCATTCACAAACCAACGGACTAGCTGAAAACACAAACAAATCCATCAAAAGGTCATTTTAGGGCAGGGAAAATTACAGTATTAATAGAAAGGAGAATGCACTAGGACAGAAGCTACAAATTGTTTCAAATGTTAAGTACATTGAAACTCAGCTTGTCTTTTATTTCAAGTAAAAGGAATTATCCCACTGCACTAGGATGGCCTCTTTACACCTTTTTGATTGTATACAATTTCTCTCAGTAAAGACAGTCCTTTCCCCTTCCCCCACAAATAATCCATCACCATTTTTTACAGAGCATTGTGCAAGTTGGTTGATGACAATGCGACTAATTGGGATGCATCTCTTGGTGACGTATTTTCTTTGCTAACAAAACCAAACACGACAACCAAATTGTCACCCTATCGACTACTGTATGGCTTTGAGGCAAGATTCCCAGACCAAGTCTGAGACAACTGCACGGTAAGTGTCCTTCAGCTTTCGGGTGCATATGGTATTCTGTGATTGTTCATTTTACAAACAACTCCTTCTCCATTTGTTTCCAAAACCAACAGATTTTGAGGAACTCGAGGAAGAATACTACAAAGAGCACATCATGAAAACTGAAGCTAGATGTGATGCTGGAACTAAACTGGCTATTAGTAATATTTCAAAAGCACAAGAAAAGCAATAAATACAGTATGCCAAAACTAAGACTCATAAGCATGGGGAAATAACCTTCAAGATTGGTGACACTGTCATGTTACTGAATTCAAGAAGGAAAACAAGAAAGGGAGGGCAGCTACAACCTACCTACATGGGACCATACAAAATTGCTGCTGTAGAGGGTAAAAGAGTTAAATTAGAAAACAAGTTAGGG